TACATAATATGTTTTTTAAATGTCGCACAGGCTTCAACAACGAGCAATAAATCTAGGATGTCTTAGGCTGAACGAATATTATTAATTTGTTTCTCGGGCTTACGTGTTGTCAAATACATGGTGTAAGGTTGAGTATGTATTATTGAGAACGGCGGATAAAAATACATTCATGTGATGCTCACATTCAGCCCGAGAGATATTCAATTCCTACTGTAACCATGTCATGGTAAAGATTGCTCCAATTTTAGCCCAGAGATGACTGATTTCAGGCGATCGTGAAATAGCTGCAGTGACTGTGTAGCTGACTATAAACAGCAATTTCGCCAACTTGCATAATGTCTTTCAATGGTATTTTAACCATCAGGGTAGTAACAGGGTAGTATGGCATGTTCCAATTATTCTTTGGAAATCAAGTAGAAGAACATAGCAAACACCGTCCTATTTAAAACAAACTGTATATATTTGCTGTATCCATAACAACGATATTTAGCTGCCTGATATTCGAATCACAGTCCCGAGTCAAAATGTCAAGTGGTTGCTTAACTGAATTGTAAACGACAATACTTTGAGTGTAAGTATAACAGATTTTTTTAAAATGTTTCTAACTTCTGTTCTTTTGTTCAGATTATCGGATATGGCGCCAAATAAAGAAGTCCCTCTTGCCCACAAATCGGAGAGTAGTCATTTATTATAAAAGTACGTTTTTGTGAAGAATTGAATAAACGTTCGAAAAGCTCCATAGTGCGTTCTTTCAGTTTACAATGAAGAGGTTAATGATTGAGGGATTCCTCTTTCGCGCTGTATGGAGTGCACTGATCATGTGACCTCGCCCAGACTGTCAAGTATATTTATAAAGGAAATTTCCGTTATATGTATGGTTATGTTTTATGTCTTTCATTAGATTTAAAGGCACATTTTCAACAACATACATGTTGGGGCACATGCACTCACTTTAGCTTCCTATTGATGCAATAAAAGACTTATTACCCCTTCGGACTTGTCTGAAATCGTGAAACTTGAAATGAACAGCTTTAATTGAAACTTCATCGAAAACTGTGAACAGCTGGTTTGGTTTCAAACAGGGAGCACTTGACATAACTCTATATGGAATGTAAACAATTAATGCAACTTTACATCGAAAAATTATACATTTTTTTTTTTGGGGGAATAAATTATACAGTAGCTTCCTTGAAGGTTGATAGTTAGTATTATTGAGAAAAATGCATTATGTATTTTTTGAGAAGTGTGGTGTGATATAGTGCCTTTAAGATCAACAGTCCGCGGCCGAAAGAAAAAGGCACGGTTAAGGACAAGGAGGACAAGGACAAGGATTGAGAGAATATGGATAAGGGCATGGAGGATAAAAAAGAATAAGGATAAAGACAAGGGGGTTAAGGAGAAGAAGGAAGAAGAAGGATAAAGAATGAAGAAACTCGCACCTATCATGACTGATTGCGTCAACCAAGTCCACGTTGCCCTGTACTAACGTAATATCATGATTCTAAAATATGACGGTCGCAGCATCTAACAGCCCGTCCTTGGCGAGGTCCTATATGTTTATGTGTCTAGTGATATTGACAAGACAGCAACACGTTGCCGCTATCTACAACGCTCCCCTATATTAGCATTGATTATTGACAAGACAACACTTATGATATCAATGTTGGTAGCATGTGCTTGAAGTGACGCTGGATGCATTAGATATCGCCACACAGTGGAACATCTCGAGTTTCATCTGTCAGTATCAGTTATTTTAACACGAACAACTACAAAAGGGAATCTCTTTTAGTCAATGTGCTTTCAGTATGTATTCTCTCTTAAGATTCGGTCACATATTACGGTCCTGAACATTGCTGACCATAACTCATTTGAACGTAGTTCATCGTAGTGCCACTACGGTGAACTAGATTGAAGTAGGTTGGAAGAAGTAGGTTGGAAGTAGTAGTAAACCGTAGTTATACCGTAGTGCCATGTTATTATGGTGTACTATGGCCAACACAGCGGTGCAGTAGGGTCACTTACGGTCTACTAGGGAGAACTAGGGTCAACCACCAACGGTAGCAGTAGGGTCTTGGCATTCAAGCTAACCCGTACAGATATTTTGAACATGTTGAAAATGTTTTAGACTAACCACGACCAAATAATGGGTTTGCTGAAGTTCAAAATACGGGCATTAAAAAGGTGATCTACGTTTAAATACGTCTAACTACGTTCAACTAAGGTCAAATACTGCAGGCGTGTGCGTAAGATGAGACCGCCGCTTTAGTCAGTGTAGTCTCAGTATGTACACAAGGTGTATGTTATAGGGCCGCGTTGCACACGACGATGTTAGGGCTAAGGTCATCGTAACTCCCATACTTTTACAAAAGTGTACGACCATCACAGCGCTAATCGTTGCTCTGGTTGTTGATCACTCGTTTAAGAAATGTGTTATTGACTGCCATCATGTAGCCGGAATATTGCTGGTTGCAGTTTCAACAGCATTCACTCACGCTATTCTAGGTCAGATGAGGGGGGCGGTGGGATAGCCTAGTGGTTAAAGCGTTGGCTCGTCACGCCGAAGGATTTGCAGTTAAGCCCATTTCTGGTGTCCCCGCCGTGATATTGCTGGAATATTGCTCAGGCGCTAAACTCTCAGTCAGTCAGATGAGGTCTCCAACTATAACGGTGATTGAACTGTTTGAGAGGCATTCTTGAAGTTATAAGTAATAGGAATGACACGTCTTTATTGATGATCTTTTTATTGTGCAATAGCGACGTTTCGGTATAGATACTTACACCGTTTTCAACCATGATCTCTCTCATGATACGTCGCTATAGCACAGTCAGAAGTTGATCATCCATAAAGACCTGTCATTCCCATAACGGTGAATAATCAGGCTCTGTGACGTCACTGTCTGCGTCATCGTAATAAATGGCCCGGTTGTCACGCCGTCGTATGGTACCGCTGTGCAACGTCAGGCAAAAATATTTCCATTTATAAGCACACTTTGTGAATGGCGGTTCATGCAAACCCATTTCCCCTCCCGGTGTCACAACTGATTTTCAAAGATCCTTGCACATAATTTTTACACCAAGCGGAAATTATGTTCTTGAAAGGCTTCAGAAGTTGAACGAACATGAATACATGACACGCTTTATGGATAACAATTTCACCTGATGAAGGAGCAAGAATTATCTCTGAAACGTCGTGTAAAGAATAAAGAGTTGTTATCCATAATACGTGTCATGTATGCAAGCGGAAATGGTTTCTAGGGATAGACTGAAGACTCTTGCACTGACGCTTCATATCTATATTTTATCCATGGTGCCGTTTGTCTAGGGTCGATTAGTACAAAATACCATATAGCATGTTTCACCTAAATGCAAAGTTCCTAAACATGTTTTTCAAACTATTGTTTCTTGACGGATGGGTATATTCGAAGGTTTACATGACGTAATACCTCCTCTTGGAAAGACAACTCGTTGATAGGAAGATGATCATATGACCAAAGGTCACTTTAATATGAAGCATTGCGAAATAGAAGCGTTGGACATCTTTTCTCACTTCATATAAAATTGTTAGGGCAATCATACAAATTCTAAAAACGAAATGTTTCATGGTGACATTAGACTTGATGTATTTTCAGTTCTATCTGTACGTGGAACACGCACACACACAAGTACATAGGACGGCATTCCTTCGGTTCTGGGTGTAATAGGTGCGTTTTAGCTTGATTTCGGTATCATGTACTTTTAACATTAAATAATTCCTACTACTGATAGGATGTATACTGATGGAAACGAATAAGGGAACAGTTGGAGGTACTTATTCCCAAATTTTACACCACAGTGCAATACAAACTAATCATGCGAATTCGTTTCCATCAGTATATTTTAGACTGAATAAACTATAGAAATTCTTATTTGGAATTGGTTTGATCGTGAAGTGTGAACCGCAAAGTACAAATCAATCCGTACCTTGTAAACACCAAGGTTACAATACATAAATATTATCAGTCTCTTACTATTAATTAAAATATTGCAATACATGGCTCTATGATTTAAAAGCAACATGAATTTGCTGGTCCCACACAAATTTCGGAAGGAGGCGACCACAGAGTCATAGATTAATCTTATCTATAGCAAACACACATTCATACAGCCAACTTTGGTCTCATAAAAAACGACATGCATTATTAATGCTGCAAACCACCATCTTGCAACAAAAAAATGTTTCACACAAATACATGCGAGGCAATGGTATCGGGAATCTAAATGAACGACTTATTGAATGGCAGGCAATGTAACAGGTTGTATGAGCACGCCCTGCTGAATCCCAACTCCGGGAAATCTACAGTATGTTCTACACGGTGTACCTTGCTTGTCGATAATACCACGTGTGCAGTGATAAACCGGTGTCATGGGAGTTCTGATACTTATGATAAATTAGTTCAATATGGACGGAAAAGGGTATAATAAAAGGATATTTGATAATGACTAATGCCAGCAGAATATTTGAAGCATCTACCGGTTAAACACAAAAGTGTATAACCAACCCTGTTTGAACATGCATAGGAATATTTAAGAAATATTTTAGATAAATGTTTGAATACATGAGGAAAATAAGGAGTTTACTATTGTATTTTCACAGTCAATTAATACAAAAATGTGGGAATTCAGTGAATGACTTCTAAAAATTTTTTGAAATGGAACCATAAGGAAAATAGACAAAAAGCAGTATTTACTATAAAACATGTATTTTGGAACGCACTTTTTCAGCCATACGTTCTTTTCGTTAAGGTGAGGTGATGGGTTTAACGTCGTGCTTGAGAATATACAGGCACTTCTATATATACAGTTGCCTCTGTCCATTGTCTGTTCTCGATGATTAGTTTTGATCATCGATCAGATAAACAGGCGGTGGTATATTTATTCATGCCGATCAATAGATAACATATCAGTAACATGCTCAAAACGTGCTCAGTTTTGTTAACTTAAGCGAACCAAATACTGGTGGGAGCAAACTGATGACTCACCGGTTTTGAAACCAAGCAGTTGAGGGGGCTGATTTTGGACGGGAATTGACTTGAGATACTTCAGCTACACAGACGGAGGTACTGATGTTTATAAGGTTTGACTTTCAATGTTTGACTTACCAATGTATGAATGACAAGACATCATTGTCCATTATTCTAGAAATGTGACAACTTTCATTTCTCCTTATCAACCACTTGCATACGTTGGGCCCAAAACGTCGATATATACAAACAGTGGATTATGAATAGCCCAGGGCATTTTCGCGCTTTATATTCCCTGGTTATGTTTCAATACATATTTATATATTAAAACGCATACGTGCTTATGTTCCATTTCTTTCGGGATATTATGTAAGACGCTTCATAAGGGTATCAGTTCTTGAATTTTATTTCAAATGTCAAAATTAACAGCTGTAGTCTAGGAGATATATAAAGGGCATCATTTTGGGAGAAAAGTCATACAGCTGTAGCGTGTATGTTACAGAAATGTCATGCTGACTGTATGACTGTTGACTACGAAGCGTGTCGACAGCCACTTCGGTTAGCTGATCAATACAGAGCAGGCATATAACATCGTCATACAAGAGGCGCCATCTGACACAGACCGGCCTAATAGGGCTATTTAAACGGGAGAAGTGGTGGTTCAAACCCGTATACAAATATGACTCAACACACCGTCTGTTGCTTACGTTTTACACATCCAGGAATCAAAATAGTCTCGATAAATTAACTTCCTTGGGGTTACAAACCTCGGAGTGTCTCAAACTGCTGAGACCCGTGAAGATCCGGGTTAGAATTGATCTTCAGTAACCCATGCTTGTCGTAAGAGGCGACTAACGGGATCGGGTGGTCAGGCTCGCTGACTTAGTTGACACATGTCATCGTATCCCAATTGCGTGGATCAATGCTTATGCTGTTGATCACTGGTTCGTCTGGTCCAGACTTGATTATTTACAGACCGCAGCCATATAGTCGGAATATTGCTGAGTGTGGCGTAAAACTAAACTCACTGACTCACTCATCCAAACTGCTGAAAATCAGAAGAATGCAACAGATCATTTTTTTATGTTCACATCGTCACAACCAGGTAACTGAAATGGCATCAGCTAAAAGACTGGCAGGAGTGTCAGGATGGTACTATGTTACTATTGCCGTTTTAGTGTTCCCTATTTCACCATATCAATAATTAATTTATAGAGCAGTAATTTATTGATATCAACAAATGTCAATACAAAATTTCTTGATATCAAATTTTTAGATATCAAAATGAATTATTGATATCCCAGCTTAGAATTTAAATTTAAAATAGTAAAACGAATATTTATCAAAGGTTTTTAGATATCATAAATCGATTTCGTGATACCATCAAATGTTTTCGGGATATCATAAAATATATTGTTATATCTAAAGTTTGAATTTGTGATTGTTTTGTTACTGATCTATTTGTTATATATACGATTGGATAAAATCAGATATATAGTAAAACGGCTCCTCAAACACCAGTTTCCATGTTGCCTGAACAGAAAACGTCGTGGACAGACAATAATGATCTCGGGTTTGATCAACGCTGTGAACGTCTAACTCCTCTCCTCCTACACGAGTAAGTAGCAGAGAAGCGTGTATAATGTATACAAGTGACGTGAACTTTCAAAGACAACGCGAGACAATCAACATTTCTTTTTAAATGAATAACACATTTATCTTACGCTTTTTATCCAAATCAACACACTCTCCGCAAAACTACACCGATAATTATGAATGAAGCTGGTCTTTTTTCTTTCGTATGAAATAATGTTACTGTCAAACTAACCCAGATGCTGGGGCGGCCGTCTTGTAATGTGCCCGTTGTTATAAGTGTTTATTACTGCTCGATCTTTGTTGTCGGTCTAAGGTCACATTGTAACATCATCCATTACAGACTGCTGATACAGGGGAATAAATAATGCAGTTTGCAAATATCAATACATTATAGGTATTTATTGTCAGGACTTGGCACTGTATAGCGATATACACATATCACATTGCTGGTAGTCTTGTTGGGAACACTGTAACATCTGTTGGCAAATCAGCTGATTTTGCAATGTATGTTTATCCGTATTTCTTCGTGAATGAACTATAAAGATTATTACCCCTTGTGACCACATGTGTCGTGGATTTAAGGATATGGAGGCCACGATGTGTTACCTAGCTGGTCGTGTGTCATTGTGCCCCAGTGGTGCTGATAACCACTGGTAGATCGATGCTCATCATGTCAATCACTGGTGCTGACTCCATTATTTACAGACCGCCATCATATAGCTGGAATAGTGCGGCGTTCAACAATAAACAAACCAACAAGGACAAAACTGTTGCTGAAAAATAAAAAAAACAATAACTTTTCATTGGATTCTATTACTGGAATAAAGACTTGAAAAAATATTGTAGAGTTCATAATAAATATATAGTTAATAAACCAACGAGGCGCATTGAAAACGCGGTATATATTATCGCAATATATTTGGACCCAGAGACCCCAAACACTCCTGTTATCTAATGCTAATTTCAAATGTATTCTGAGCCACCAAGTATCACTTACAGGACTATCGTCCCTATGTGTAATTAATCACTCTTGAATTCTCTCCATCTAACTACCGAAACGTCAGCCACTGAACTAGAGTCCCAATCTTTAAGTATCTAATGCTTATGTCTGATGTAGTTTACACCAACAAGGGTCACCAGAGACCTATCGTCCCTATGTCCTAATCTGACAATACCCCGACAGGTCTTGGTCCTCAAAAATACATCTATAAATTAGCCCCTTATTGTGTATCGCATCTAAATTTCACTCAAAGATTATCTACTAAGGTGTCATTTAAATATTAAATCAATACCACCATTTCTTCTGTGACTGATACATAAAGCAATGTGGAGGTATGTGAATGTGCACAAGCGAACATATTAATTAACTAGTCTGTAGCTCACGTCTATGCAGATAGCAAACGTTACACATGTGTGGGAACATGGCCTCCATGCATAATGCATATAATCTATATCTGTTGGGCAGGAATCAGGGAACAGGGCGGTGAGATATTGATTCAACTACAACTCGTCACAGATGTTCATAACAATATCATGGAGACAGATTGAACTGTCAGCATATTGTTGCAAATTATTCGCTTACTAAATCATACAATAATATATATCACGTACGTGATAACATACATATTACCTATGAATCTCCTGTTTTGTTTGTTATTAATACACGTCTCACTCTTACATGTAACTTAAGTTCAATCAGTACAATTAAATCGTACTCACTGTAATGTTTTCCGTTAGAAACAATCGTTATATGGCAAAAGCAACGTGTCGATTCCCAAGCTAGTATTTAACCGGAAATCCTTCCGCAACAGAAGTCAGTGTGAAACCACCGAACAACAAAGAAACGTGTGATGATTAATGTAGTACTAATTACAACAAAAGAATATCAATAATAGTGGCATTGCATAATAGTGTGGGAGTGTAAATACAATTAAACTATTCTATGAAAGAGGTGATTACAGGAATAAAAACATTGATAACATTCACCTCGATGATTACAGAAATAAAAACATTGATAACATTCACCTCGATGCAACAGTGGTCAAGCTTGCAAAATATGACTAGACTGAGAATCCGTGAAAAGTGATCTTCACATAACTGTTGGGCTTCTTCAAATGTGACATGCAATATGAAATGATCGATAAAGGCGCTTGGCTCCTTTGTATGTGCAAAAATCTGGAACTTTTCTCACTTGCTGGGTTAGATTACACTGGAATGCCTCCCGTATTGGTATTTCGTTGAACCATATTAACTCAATAAGTCATTTGGGGAAATGTCGTTATAAAAATGTCGAAATATTGATTCAAGGCAATGCTCAGTAAATCCTGGTAAATCTAGGGCACAGAACTCTATAGAGAATTTTATTAGGCTGAAAGGGGACTAATATCAAAGTTCTTGAAAACGATATTTGATATTTGAAATATTTGTACATATAACATTCAGAAACAATGTTATTTATTACAGAACCACCAGGGGGCGAGCGGACGTAATGTTCAACAACATTGTTTAGATAGCCGTATGCGAGAACAGAACTGTCAGGAATCGACACAAGTCGGAATCATTTCAAAATGGAGAACAACAGTGTAGAAAACAAAACCTCTGCAAACAATACTCTGGAAGATACAAGCACTCAAATCAACAACACTGAAAACAACAAGACGCCCAGTGAAAGCTCGAAGACAACAGAAGAGGATGGCCTCCCTACGCAAGTCAGACGTTCGCTGTCCATCTCCAGTTTCACAGACAGTCTTGAAACAGACGACCAGAGCCAGGAACAGGCTGAGACAGAGGACTCCAAGCCAAAGAAAAAGTCGTCGAAACTTCCGGTGAAAACTAAACCCAAACTTGAACGTTCGGCAACTGAAAACTGTAACAGCCATGCCAGTGGACACGAGTGTGGAAGTGGGGGATGTGGGAAAGGTAAGGGGAAAAAATCCGGCAAGCAGTTGAGGAGGGACTGCAACAGTCTTGACTGCAACTCCACTGTGCATCATGCACCAACGAAGGAAACAATCACCAGCAGGATGAGGGTAGAGAAGAGCCATCTTGAACACGGAATGGAGGCTAACAAGGACGAGTACTTAACCCCCACACAGAGGAAGGGGCAGACAATCAGAGATCTCAAGAAACAGGTGATTATATACTTGAGTAATATTGTCTGGCTAATATTGCTGTTAGAAAGATTGTTTTACAATTATGGAGATACTATCAGTGAATATATATGTGAAAGTGTCATACGTTTAATTTTATTAAGTTGTAACAGGTTACCAAGTAGCATGACAATCCATAAACGAGATAAAATCACCATACAAGACACACGTATGTTATTTTTTTCAAATTCCAATTCCAATGACTATTTAAAGTTACATGGTAATATTCCACCCTAATTTTCTACCAAAGTATTATTTTGTTGTGATATATTGTTCCAGTGGGAATGAAAGAGCTTTCTATTACATGCAATGCCAGAGAGGATTCCCTATTTGAACTGCTTATTTTTGGGCACGGATTAACCCAGACAACATTCCGAACGAAATTAAGTGGCATCAGAAATATGTATGACCTTAAGGTTAATATATTATGTATTGTTAGGAGAGATCTAGTTCTTTTTACTAAAATGGCAGTTTACTAATATACATTTCATTAATACAGAGTCCATAGCTTAGAAAATACATATATTATATTTCAAGAACCGACATACATATGCATGTGTTTGGACGAGAGTTTGTATACCACTGGCCATATTCTACTGGAATTCCCATTTTCGGACGGTGTGGTTTTACAATTGCGCAGGTGAAAGAACTGGAGAAGACTCTGGAGGAGACGAATGGAGAAGTGGAGAGTCTGAGACAGAGCATCGGCAAGGAGGCCCAGATCATTCTGGACACGAAGAACCAAGAGGTGAAACACGTCAAGGACAATCTAGAAAGTATGGAGACCAAATATGACGAACTGACGTTGTCTTATGAAGAGTCGGTGAAAGCAGTCAATGCTCTGGAAACTACAATCCAAGGACTGCGAGTAAGTATAGACCGTAAATAAACGCGACACGAACATAAATAAAAGCGACCTTTTCCACACCTATAAGAAATATTTTCTAATCTCTAATGAGTCGAAACTTTAAAGTACAACTGGGACTTTATCTTGAGCATGTGTTTATAAATCGGCATATACATTGTGATGACCAGGGTGCCTTAGCGATAAGGTGATCGTAACTCCCATACCGTAACATAGACGTACGACTAACGTAACGCTACGGTTGCTTTGTACAACGGCGTCCAGGTGTTCACGAAGAGGTGCGTGTATGTTGGCCCACCGATGGTACCCGCCAACAAATGCAAATGCTAGGCGTTGTACAAAAGCATGTACCAGTAGAATCGTGTGTGGTTGTGTAAGGGAAACCAAATGATGTCATGAAGTCTGATAATTGAGAATTTGGAAAATTGCGCAAACAGTATTGATGAAGATGAAACGAGTTCATAAAATACACTCGAAACACGCATGTAATAATGATTTCACGCGTGCATCAGTATTGCTGACACAACACATATATCTTTGACGTTACAATAGTAGTAACATGACATCGTGTCAGTGTTGACAACGACCCGTGAATATCCGGGCCAGCATAGATCTTTAGCAACCCATGCTTGTGATAAGAGTGAGTGAGTGACTTTAGTTTTACGCCGCACTCAGCAACATTCCAGCTATATGGCGGCGGTCTGTAAATAATCGAGTCTGGACCAGACAATCCAGTGATCAACAGCATGAGCATCGATCTGCGTAATTGGGATACGATGACATGTGTCAACCAAGTCAGCGAGCCTGACCACCTGATCCCGTTAGTCGCCTCTTACGACAAGCATGGTTACTGAAGATCAATATTCTAACCCGGATCTTCACGGGTAACTTGTGGTAAGAGGCGACTTATGGGATCGGCATGGTTGACAGATGTTATCGGATCCCAATTGCGTAGATCGATACACATGCTGTTGATCACTGGATTGTCTGGTCAAGACTCGATTATATCCAGACCGTCGCCATATAGCTGGAATGTTGCTGAAACAAGTATCCCCTCATGATATCGTCACAATTGTACAATCGTCTCTGCTTTTGCCAAAGATTTCTTATGAATGTGGAAAGGTTTTTGTCGCTTCTGTTTCTATAGGGATGACCTGAAAGTCCGTACAACATCACAAAATAGTTAACAAGTTTCAGCAGCGACGTAGGTATCCAGATATGCTTAATATGCACAATCAATACAGCAACGACCTGGTCTATTGTGGAGACCACGGTGAAATCAATGCACGATGTGAAACACACTGTCAAGGCCACATTGGTCTCTGTGTAGATGTTGTTAAAGGATTTAATGGTTGTAACGTGTGTCGTCTCTTCGATTAATCCACAGCTTTATAAAGAGGGACAGTTGTCAACGTACAGGCGTTTGACACAACACTGGAGAACGTTCTTCAGCGCTGTACAAAGTTAACGGTCTTGCGTACCTTGCTTTCAAAGGCGATACGATAACAACTTCTTATCTTGTCGTAATGGTGACGTTTCGCTATAGATCGTTATACCGTTGTCAAGAATCAATAATAATTAACATGGTGCACAATATATATGGTCGTTATGGGATTGAAAGTAACAACAGTGGGCATACATGAGAGTAGGTTAAATATGAAAACAGAACTCTAATGTTGCAACAACTTGAAGGAAGGGAAGTTAAATAGGATTGCTGTTTTGAGAGGCATTTAGAAGTTATGTATATGGATGAACAACGTCTTTATTACAGTTACACCGTTATCAAAATAGTGATGAACAGAATATGGACTGAGAAGCATGTATACAAGTGTAGGGCAGTGTTTGTACAGTGCAGTGGGAATCAGGACTGAAATAGCATGGGGCAGCCATAGGAATGACAAGTCTTTATGGGTGATCAAATTCTCTATTTTTGTACAGTAAAGAAGTTGATCATACATAAAGACTTGTCTTTACTATTACTTAAAACTTCGAAAATGCCTCTCACACGGTTCATAGGGAAGCCAGTTAGCAATTAATTGCCTAAAGATAGATGGTTGATTGGTTTGTTTTTTAACGCCGCACTCAGCAATATCCCAGCTATATGACGGCGGCCTGTAAATAATCGAGTCTCGACCAGACAATCCAGTCATCAACAGCATGAGCATCGATCTACGTAATTGGGACACGATGACATGTGTCAACCAAGTCAACGAGCCTGACGACCCGATCCCGTTAGTCGCCTAAGATAGATAGAAGCGTTCAACACGTGACACCTGCCTGCTTGATAATGTTGTTGGAGCCTACATCGAAACGTGGCTCTCACTGTAATAGCGAAGTTATTCATCCATATATTGTTATCCTTCCTTAAAACAGGTTGATGTATGTATAGGTGTGGGGATTATTGCATCATGGGTTCTTAAGACGCAGATGGGTTTGAACAGCCTCGATCTCAGGAGATTAATGACTCGTGGTCTTGCTGCGTTTTCTTATATGAATAAAAGCGACAAATCCCTTTCCATATCATTAAGAATACTCTGTTAAAAGCAGAGGAGTCGACTGTACAATTCCGACTTTATCTTGAGCATATGAATCACTATCACAAAGTAATGACACCAGGTGTTCGCGAAACGGCCATGGATTTAGCTGATTAAATGTCAGACTTGATGGTTGGGACTTGTGATCTGTGAGTCCGATTTACATGGATCGGGTTGTTTTGTCTAAAGATCAGTTACAATCGGATATACTAGTATAAACTTCGCCGTCAATGAGCTGCTGGGTTTGGGATGGGGGTTGGGGGTGGCGGGGTGTGTGTGTGTGTGTGTGTGTGTTGGTGGTGGTGGTGGTGGGGGGTGTCTTATATTGTTTTGTTGTTGTTTTTGTTTTGTTTTGGATCCCATTCACATCCCGAAATCGGTGTATTTTAAATTGTAGATACAAAAGGACACTCGATGTACATGTAGGACGTTTGTCACTGTCCACAGCGAATTTACGAAAACCTAAAAAAGCCCGATCAATATCCTCGTGATTTCATACCTCTTCGGTTTTCCTGTGTGCATTCACATCGATTGAAATATCACCGCATTCCACTGTTAATGATTTGTCCCATGTGTTTTGAAGGAGTCTGCAGAATCAAAGGAATTGCATCACAAGAAAATGTACTTGGAAATGTACGAGAAAGGCAGGATGTCCGCGAGGTTTGAAAGAGAGGATGAGGTAAGAGTCGTCGTGATTGTGAATGGTCAAACATCAATAGCGATAAACATTAAACTCAGGGCAAAGAATCCAAATATTAGTGCTATCAACGATTGTGTTGACTTCCAACGCACTTGCTTAAAGCACATGAGGTAACCTGCCCAACCCCATGGGTCCCTAACAGGATCTATTGGTTACAGCATGTTATCCCTCCTGTTCCCAATTGGGAACGATTGTTCACAGTATGTGACCTGCCTTAGCGATTTGGAGGCGACATGATAGGTATCGATTGGGCTTAAAGGCACCATATCACACCACACTTCTAACAAAATACATAATGCATTTCTCTCAATAATACTAACCATCAGCCCTATGGGAAGCTACCATATAATTTATTCCCAAAAAATACGAATTGAGCTTGCAATTTTAAATTAATAAGGTCGAATGAATTAATGAAACATTTCATTAAATCGACTCTCGCGCCCTCTACTGGCCGAAAATTATTTCAAGCGAACCCATAGAGTTATGTCCCTTGGAGCGCTCTTTATGATTATCCTACGCACAACTTGTGATTGAAACCAGTTCGGCAAACGCGCCAGTTTTCGATGTACGGAGCAATTGTTTACATTCCATATGTGGCAATTGTTCTCTGTTTGGAACTGTTCACCTTTTATTGCATCAATAGGAAGCTAAAGTGAGTCCATATGCCCCAACATGTATAATATAGGCCAAAAATGTGTGACATTGTGCCTTTAATGCATGTCATCGTGACCCAGTGTCATCAATTAATGCTCATTCTAACAACCACTGGTTCGGTTGGTTCTGATTTGACACTGTCGTCGTATAGGCCACCATTAAATGCTGGATTAGGGCGTTATATAACACCACTCACACATTCCCACCAGCACAGCAAGAAGCAGGTACTAACACGTGCGATTTGTTTCCCTTGATTCAGTTGGAGATGTTGGTGAAGACGGGAAAGGAGAAGGTGACGATGACGGAGATGATGAAGAAGCTGTCGGAGTCACAGGCGGAGCTCGCTAAGTGGCAGAGTCTGAGACGCGAGGAGATGTATGAGGTTGCAGAGAAGCCCGAGACGGAGGCTGAGACAACTCTCAGGTTCCTCAAAGATTCCTTCTTCCACTTCCTGACCACCGACAAGGATTCGGACGACCATCTCAGAGCAATGATCCGGATCTTTAACTTCAGTGAAGTTCAGAAGAAGAAGATTACTAAAGGCTTGTCTGACAAAAAGAAATCTAAACCAATAACGTGATCTCGGGGAGTTGTACTTCTTCAAAATGGCTTGTACTATATAGGCCTCGAGACTTATTTCATGGTGAGACTAGGGTCGCTCATTTTCAGTTTCAAGAAGATCATTTGCGAGCTTTACTTCATCGTGAACTATCTGAGTTTATCTGTCCCCAACCTTTGTTCATTTGCATTCGATCATTGGTGTGTGTGGCGATTTCTGGTTGTACGGATCGAACTTTAAAAATAGATTCGGAACATTTACGTATCTTGAGATCATGTCCCACCTTTGAAGAATTTCCTTGGAAACAATCATATTATGTCTTTTCGGTAGCTGCTGCTTGTAACAGGATGGGTGTTTAAATGGTTAGCTTTGTAAATTCAATGTAAATACATAATCCATGTAATCTGTACATAGTATCACCTTGCTTATCCGGACGGCGATTTGATCATAATGTGTTTCACAGTATCGCGGCAAATGAAACATGAAATGCTATCAGGTTGTGTTTCATGTGAGAGCATCCGTGAGACTTTGAGGTCCGGTATTTCGAGAGTTGTGTGTATACAGTTTCCATCATACTTAGTTATGTTAAACTTTGTTACCATGTATGTTATCTGTTTGAGAGTCTGTTCAAAACGAAAGTATATTTCTTTCCCTGGTAAAAAAGAAACGTTTAATTAGGTGTCACGTACGATTCAGAACGTACATACAGTGTAATTTAGAACCCATCTGGATCTGTTGAAGTCACACGGACAATAAGAGAAGTAAAAATTGAGTAAAATTTAGTACCCGGCGTTTGAGAGAGATCGGTCATCTACTTCTTTACCGGAGAAAGAGAGTTTTCGTGATTCGTTCATCTATCTTTGATTTACTCTGTTACCAGACCTGGCGTGTGATGAAGGTCTGGAGCCTGTTAGAGGGTATATATATGTATGTGTACACATATACATATATACATACATACATACATGCATGCATACATACACACACACATACATGCATGCATACATACATACATACATACATACATACATATACATATATACATACATATATACATACATATATACATACATACATTTATACATATATACATACATACATACATACATATATACATACACATATACATACATACATATATACATTATACATATATACATGCATATATACATACATTATATATATATATATATATATATATATATATATATATATATATTCATCATGTTTGGGTAATTAATTTGGCTTCTCCTATAACTAGAGAATCTCGCTACTTTCCATTGTATACATGACTGTATTGTTCTACGAGGTTTGTTATCACCATCTTATCTGCACACATGTTCATTATAAGTCGTCATATTGGGTATGTAGCTGCCATGATGATCATCATAACATATCGCACTGTAATATATGCAAATTGTCATACACATGTATTGTGAATAAACACTCAGTAATCGACAGTGGATATTGTTGTTACTTGAGCGTCATGTTTCAATTACCTGTTTCCTCGTATGTTACTACTCTTGAACAACATCACAGTTTAGAGAACACATTCATTTTTTACCGTATACTTTCTTTGGTGTATAGCCTAGTCAGTGATATGTCTAGCCTGTTCAGTGATGACTCTCCAGTGTTCAGTGACATGTCTAGCCCGTTCTTTGGTGCATAGCCTAGTCAGTGAAGTGTTCAGCCTGTTCAGTGATGATTCTCCCGTGTTCAGTGACATGTCTATCCCGTTCTTTGGTGCATAGCCTAATCCGTGAAGTGTTCAGCCTGTTTAGTAGTGTGACGTGCCAGGCCAGTAGTTTATTCGACCCATTCACTGTTGTCTCACGTGATCAGTGATGTGCCTGGCCTGTCCAGTAGTGTCTGGTCTTATTCTTTGCATGTGTGTCCGCTTGCTTTGTTCGCTTATGTCTAGCCTTTTCAGTAGCCTGTCTGCCCTTTTCAGCGTTGTATCTGCCCTAGATCGATGTCATATGCCAAGGTTATTGCTTCGCAAAACGAAATTCACGCATGTGCATATATGAATAATTCAAACAACACGGGAAGCCGTTGGAATGATAAGGCTTTGAGCTTGGTGTTCGTTTCTGTATAACAATATAACAGTCAACATTCATATATACGATCGTACATTTACAAGCTTGGATACCACTAATGAAACAATCAAGCGCCATCTGTTCCCTATAAATATGCATGGCATTTGTATGTGGGAAATAGCACATGAAGATATATACATATGGAAATTAACACCTGTATTTTCTCAGACTGAGCAATTTTAATGAACTGGAGCATATAATGTGTCAAAGTGTCTTCCATACCACATGAATGTTTTAGTGAAAAGACAGGGTTGAGGAGAAACGTAGCCGAGATCACCAGGACATCATCTGGTATATTTGAAGATGGCACAGATTTAGAAATGCAGAAGCATAAAATGTCACTTTTCTTGCACAGACCTTTAACATCATTGTTAGCCCTGTGTTCGTTCAACAGTCTTGAAATGATGGAAGGATTGCGCAAAGATTGATGTCCAATTTGTCTGAAGGACATTCCTGCATTTCTCATGCCAATAATTTGACAACTTACGACGTGTCAGGACAATTATGGTACTGGAAATTCAACCCAAATGTGGCATGTTATCAGTAAAATCTTGATTTCAACAACGTTGGGGTATGACATTTCACGTACATTACGCGCCGATGCACGTGCATTGAAAATCTAACCCCAAAAATCATGCCATACAGCAAGATGCAAAGTGTTCATAAATCATTCAGAAAATGCTGTTTTCTAAATTCCCAGAAATAATATATGTCCATGAATTTGGTATTGCGTAATTAATTTCAATTTTCGTACCACATTATCCGATTTCTTTTAAAGCATTAATCAGATGCATATTTATGTAAATAGATATAAATTGATGTACAGTCAAATCTCCATTGTCCGGATTCCGCAATTCCGGAGGACTTAGGGAACGACGACACCGTCATGCAGGGAACGTTGCCTTTGATCGGAACACATTCACCGAAACCGGCACATATACAATTGCTGCATCATCTCTCGAGTGACTGGGTCAGATCATGCGTGAATTCGTGTTGAGTGTGAGGGGAAATAACCATTCTATGTAAGTGTTGGATACGTGGCTGGACAATCGAGATTTTCATATACATCCGAAAATGAGAAAGCCATAATAATCGGCACCTCTTGTTTCACAAGTATATTTGAACTATCTTTAAAGGGACACCTGTAGGGTCATGTTACAGTTGAAATGAATCCAATGATTAAGTATTGGCAACCAGCCTGGGTGTGCAGAGCTTCATGTTGCAGTTCACAAAGCGAAAAGCCGCCTCCGTGGTGTAGTGGTTAGAGCGTCCGCCCGGGGAGCGGAAGGTCGCAGGTTCGATCCCCGATCGCGTCATACCAAAAGACGTTAAAATATGGTACTTGTTGGTCCCTGCCTGGCGCTCGGCATTAATGGGTACAACAAGGACTGGTCGGTTCGGAGTCAGTATAATGTGTCCGAGTGGGGTATTCATGCTTCACTGCGGCATGGCATCTCAGTGGGCTGGCACTATAAAACCAGCTTAAGTCTGGGCTTGTACAAGCAGCCGCACATACACATAAACACGCATGCACGTCGTCATATGAGCGAAATATTCTCAAGCACGACGTTAAACTCAATTTCATCTCATCTCATCTCACAAAGCCAAAACTGCGTCCACTTAAACTATAGATGTTGTGAAGAATCGAACATCGTTCTGCGAGTCATGCTTCGTCAGCTAGCTACCCAAACCGAACCATGACATTCCAGAATATGGGACACGAGAGTAAAAATTATTCATGATATTCATATTTAACTTGTTAAATCATCTATATAATCATTTCAGAATAGATTACGAGATACAATTTTACTGAGTGAAATAATAATTTTCCGAGCTTTGCTGAGAGGCTTTCAATATTATTTCTCCGATGACGGAATAACAGTCGTCCTTGCAGGTTTGTTAATAGCATAGCCCTTGATTTTAATATTCAAGAACAATGTGTTACTTGATGTTATAATAAGATACCAAGGTATCAGTCAACTGTAAGAATGTCACGTAACTAAATTGCTGATGAATGGATATTATCACTAGGACACGGATATCTTAGACGCTGTTTTGGTAAAGGTATTCATGAACATATCGTTTCTATCGCAGATGGGATGATGTACATCCATTGTTCACAGGGCCAAACAATTTAAGACGAGGCCATTGCCAATGGAATATAAGAAATAAGCTAACATTTGAACATGAAAATCAAATTTTGATAGACAACTTGAAGACGTGTGTTTAAAATAATTGTTCATTTTATTGCAAAACAAAGTCACATTTATTATTCATGATTATGCTGAAATGATTTGTGTTGACAATCGCGTCTCACCTAATGCAGCATCTGTGTCACACCTAATGCAGCATGTGTCGCTTAATGCAGCATGTCACACCTAATGCAGCATATGTCACACCTAATGCAGCATAATGTCACACCTAATGCAGCATCATGTCACACCTAATGCAGCCACACCTAATGCATGTGCGAACACCATGTCACACCTAATGCAGCATATGTCACACCTAATGCAGCATATGTCACACCTAATGCAGCATGTCGCTTAATGCAGCATGTCACCATGCAGCATAAATGCATGCAGCATGTGTCACACCTAATGCAGCATCTATGTCACATCTAATGCAGCATGTGTCACACCTAATGCAGCATGTCACACCTAATTGCAACGTATGTCACACCTAATGCAGCATAATGTCACACCTAATGCAGCATATGTCACACCTAATGCAGCATCTATGCCAGCATGCCACATCTAATGCAGCATGTCACACCTAATGCAGCATATGTCACACCTAATGCAGCATATGTCACACCTAATGCAGCATCTATGTGCCACACCTAATGCAGCATGTCACACCTAATGCAGCATATGTCACACCTAATGCAGCATAATGTCACACCTAACGCAGCATCTGTGCCACATCTAATGCATCATGTCACACCTAATGCAGCATGTCACACCTAATATTGCAACATATGTCACACCTAATGCAGCATATGCCACACCTAATGCAGCATATGTGTCACACCTAATGCTGCATAGGGCTTAAGGAGTTTATAAAATACCTTACTTCCCTTTTCATCGGTTATATATGTATATATAACGTGGTCGTAAACTCTAGCGTAATATTTTATACTGACAGTCTGTAAATAATTGGCTACTGAAAATTTTACTCCTTGGTATTAAAGAAACATCAGTCATTTTTGTACTAAATCATGAAACTCATATAAAAAGTATAGAAATATAATCTTTAGAAATTTCACCTTTGTCATGAATGAAATCCTGTATTTATGACATACCTTTTGGATGCCTTTATACCCTTTTGATGCCCTTGCGGAGATTAGATAGGTTAACCATCTATTTTGATTTCATGTTTTACCACACGAATTTGATTATCAAAGCTTTTTGTACACAAAAGTGTAGTATTAGTATCGCTACTGTTCACTGTCTTTTATGATCTTATAAATATTTACTTTATAGTATCAATAGATTGTGCATCAAAATGTACGAATTCAGCATACAGAATGCAATTCAGATAAATAATATTGCAGGGTTTTACTGACGCCTAATTCCGGTGTGTATGACACAACAATATTAATATACTCCAAAACAATTCCATATACTGTTCTAAATTTCTGACTGAAGACTTCAATATTGGCAAAATTGTTACTGTTTAAGCTTGTGCCAGACTTGCTAGAAGTTATAATGACATGTCTTCTATTCTCCCTGAAATAAGTAATTATACACTGTATCGCATTACTCACAGAGAACAGTACCACACAATATTGCTCCTGCTTCATTTAGAATTGATAATGGAATTATTTTATTGACAAAATATGTCCATGACTCACAAATTTAGAAGATGACTCCCTAAAACATATACTGTAAATCACCAAGTCTATGTTAAACCTTAATATGGTTCATTCATTTTGATGGACGGTTACAATCATATCTAATGCACAAACTCTACTCCACTCTTCATGCATTCTACACATCCATCATGTTGTAAAGGACTGTGTGGCGTCCCTGTAGACATTTAGCATTACCAGTGAATTGTTATGCGTTCAATATGCATACAGATTGTCATTAGCCTGTGCTTAGTATATCCATTCTATTATTTATCATAACCTTATTTTAATAAATAGATGAAATAGTAAAACTGAATAAGAAAGGATTCATTATAACACAATGGTAATAACTGCTAATATACGATGGTTTAAAGGGATACATTCCAGTTATGTATTTCAATTTTAAGTTTATAATCAGTTCATACTGCTATTTACTGTATATGGTATGAATGCATTTCAGGTGCATTCCAATGCCCTGTTATTTTACAGAGACATTCACTGTCGTCAAGTTACCTGTAGGTGCTAATACTACTCTCACTAACAAATTATTGTTCATAAGGCGAGTCCTCCAACATGTGGTTATTATCAAATGCTTAATGATATTACGTATTTGGCATCATAAACATTTAGGTAAATTTTATACACTCGTGCAAGGTGGGTGACGTAAGTATAAACAAAGACTGTACTCTGATATGTTTAAGTGGACAGTTTCCGAAGGCGATTGACAAAGTACGAAAATATTACCCAGCATTAAAAATCATCCAAATATATACATACAAACTATATGTCATACATACATGTGAGAGTGAGGGGAGGAGGGGGAGCAATGAATGACACCAGACCGCCAGCAGTCAGTATTTTCATACTCATTAAAAGCAAGGATGACGCCGTCATTGGCTTCATTGACTTACCAAAATGCTGTGTACATAAATCAGACATATTAAAATAATGCCTCTGAACGTGTAAATATAAAAAAAAATCAAATTCAGAGCCGAGATTGGCCCATTCAAGAATACACTTTGACAAAACAGATCTACAAGGACATGCTGTAACAGTAACGGTTAAGAAAACTATCGATCTTCCATCCAGGTTATGTACACAAGTACAACGTATCAAAATGAATGGTAAACACCGCTAAAACCACGATGACTACATGCAGCGCTAATTAACCGTTGGGTTAAGTACTGGCTTGGTACCAGATACAGAGCTGGAGAGGAAATGATTCTTGTTACTGTATGACATACGAAGTACCACCATTCTCGCCTTTCAATCCGGATGTTAATGTAACTGGTTCGGACCCGGTGTGCTAAAACATCATAAAACATAAAATATAACAGTGTTAAGTTGATACCTACTTTGCTCTGAATGACGACTTGATGTCAAACATTAACGAGAATCATTTCATTAATCCAATTACATGAATCCCTTATTTAGGGAGCATAATAGATGAAAGACTTAACGAAATTGGTATTGAGCACGTTTTGGTTACACAATATTCATTTTGACTTAAACGGGTCCCAGCAACTCAATCGTAAGTGCATGTGGACGCGGAGACGGAGTGCTTCCTCTTCCATTTTCACCCTGATCAGACCTAGACCTTGGGTGTTGGTGCATCTGCGCTCCCGGATCATTTCTAATGTTTGTTTCCGATTTGTTTGCCTGCGACACGACTGTATGGTACGCCGGTGGAGTTTCTTGTTGCGTTGTATCTAAAACTGAATACGGAGGAGGGGGAGGGAGGTTACCCGCCACGTCCGAAAAGACTTCGTCATAAGTGTGTTCATTTCCTCCAGGTGGCGCTCTGGGTGGCGGGCCTATCGGTTGAGCATGCGCAATACCTGGATAGGCTGGCGGGAGGTCATCCATGGAGTATGCTGGATTCGTGACTCCGGGGTAAGGGGGTGGATCTGAGGCGGTGCTACCGCCCACAATTATGGGCGACACAACGTACACGGTGCTGTTGCTACGGCTGTACGGAGGGGGGTCCCGGCGTGCAGGTTGTGGTGGCTTACGTCTGTATTTGCCCAGGATGCAGAAGAAGCAAGTGACGGCAACGATGAGGAGGAAGACTCCGCTTGTGGTCGCGCCTATCAGGAGACCATTCGGTTTCTGGTCGACTGAAAGAGAGAATAAATATAAGGTCAATGGTAATCGTTAAAAGGGATGGGTGGTTTTTTTGTTTGTTGTTTTACGCCGCACTCAGCAATATTTCAGCTATATGACAGTGGTCTGTAAATATTCGAGTCCTGACCAGACAATCCAGTGATCAAAAGAATCCTTACAGTAGCCATTCATAAAAAGTTACGTGTAGACTCTGACAAAAAAGTACAGGGTGATACATTTTTTACTTGAGTAAATTGCTTGTTAAGATGCTTAATGAAAACCTTTACGTAACATATTTTGGAGACTTCATTTTCCAGGTTTTCAAGTAGGAATCGATTACTATCCTGACCACTTATTTTTCTTGGGTACTTACCCGGTGGCTCCTCCTCGTCCGGTTTTATTCTGTATCTGAGGGAGAAGCCGTTCCCCTGGTTCATGTCATCGCTTACAAAAAGGAGGAACAGATAGCGGCCAGTACTGTGGAATGTAGGGGTCTGCCTGCCACAGAATACCCCCGTCTCAGGACTCAGGGTGCTGTAACCTGGAAACAAGGGGAGACTTCAAGTCTAAGCTGATCACATAGAGGTGCATGTGCATGTGCGTGTGCGTGCGTGTGTGTGTACTATATGTTATACCTCTTTCAGATGCTGCTCACACATAATCAAAACATATGAAATATTGAACACGTGAAAAATATCCATACATTGCCATTGGTTGCGAATACAGCTGATAAGATGGCCGTTGTTCAACATCATTGCACAATCGGTTGACAACATATAGTCATAACACCCTAGTTAAAGACCTTATAACTGTTATTATATTGGATTATATTCCAAATTCGTATATTATAAACATCACCCAAGTCCGCAAGCTTGATCACATACTCGCCCTTACAACAATGGCAAGGGGTTTCTGAAGACCAAGTTTAACCCTGACCTTATGGAATGTTGAAATGTTAATAGAAAAAACTACAGGCGGAAGGCTTCCCGGAATATCCTCCAATGGAGACTTACATTTGATTTGTTAATGATATAAAAGTTCGTTAATGTCATGAAGACATTCTGTTAGAAATCAGCGGTTGGGGCATACCATCATAAACCCTCACAGCGTCGTATTTGCAGCTGTAGGACTCCTCCAGGTTGGACAACGTCACTTCTACCACCACGGTGGAGTTGTCGGTCCATAGTCGCCACTCACAGTGCGCATGTCTGGAATCACCATTTTCAAAACAAGATTGTTAGGAGATCAGTCTAGGGTATTGCACTTCACCTGTTTCTGTATAAAACTGAATCCGGTTTTACCAACTTATCAGCTAACATGTTTAAGCTGGATCCGTGGAATGATTTTGAACAGTTTCTTATGTGGCTAAACAAACCCAAAGGTTATGTCCGCCTTGTGATACAACTAGACTAACACATTCCCGTTACTTCCTGGTACCCACTTACAAACGTCATGGTTTTCGAGTTGTAACACAATATACAAGTTCCATGGGTCCAACAAACACAAGTATGGTGCGCACAGATATAGATTATAGAACCGTGTAGTAATAGGAAAATATAACCTTGAATTTGCCATGAAATCGTGAAGGCGAAAAGTAAAGATGACGAAGTGAAACCATTACATTTCAATAGCATTTCATACACACACACACACACACACACACACACACACACACATACCCATGGCATCATGGTATCTGATGCCATTTGCAGACTTTTTTATCTATCACAATTGTACCTATCAATGTCATACGTTGACCACATGTACTGTACCTATAAACAAGTAAAAAAATGGTAAATAAAAAAAAAAATTCATCATATTGGATGAGACAGAAAATACAGTGGGGAGCCCGTAAAATGAGGCAACGACTGAAGATCAAAATAATCTAAACATGCCAAGATTTCAGATTTTGAGAATGGGGACAAATTAAAACTGAAGTGAGTTCAATTTTTACCCATGCAATATTTGTTTTAAATATTTGATGACATTTTAATGTGTAATAACGTTTTGAATGTGCATTGCCTACAATGATGACACGTGGATGCAGTTGTAAAAGTAACCGTGATAATATCATGTTAATGGTTTTTAGGGTGGGCTTTTAGATGAACTTTCTCTACACCAAAAATCCCCTTTTGTGAAATATTCCCTGGATTCCATCATGTTTCGTATTCTAAACGCGTTAAAATGATGAGACAACGAACATGGTTAAGTTCGTGTTTAGTACCTAAATTTTGACATTGTATGATAAGTACAATTATACACTGCAGCTGTCAAGATGACCTACTTTGGATACTCTCCCCTTATTGGATACTTCAAATACTGCCAGTATTCCTTCGCTTCTAATGACTCAATTCCCCCAGGGAGACAGGCGCGCTGAGCTGAAACAGATGCAATCTCATGTTTATACCATACCAGCGCTTAGCTGAACCGCGATGAGGGATCTTTTTTCATTTAACTGCGATTGGTGGCAACTGGTCCAACCAAAATGTCAAAATATATAAAGGTATATCTTATAGCATCTCATTTTGGGGTAAAAAAACAAACAAACAAACAAATAATTTAATTTTAACTTTATCATAATCATTGACTTTGTTGCCACGTCAAAGCAACTAATATTTCAATTTTGAATATCGATGGGCAGGCAACAGTATAAACCTGGTTTAGCGAGCGAGTGAGTTTAGTTTCACGCCGCTTTTAGCAATATTCCAGCAATATCACGGCGGGGAACACCAGAAATGGGCTTCACACATTGTGCCCATGATGTGAATCGAAGCCAGGTCTACGGCTTCGGCTTTAAACACTAGGCTACTCGTTCACCCCTTACCTTAGATGAAGATTCAGCTGAATATAACGATGGGTTTCATGCATAATGGACACATTTATGAGTGAGTGAATATGGTTTTACGCCGCTTTTAGCAATATTCCAGCAATAACACGGCGGGGGACACCAGAAATGGGCTTCACATATTTTGCCAATGTGGGGATGCAAACCTAGGTCTTCGGCGTGACGAGCGAACGCTTTAACCTCTTGGCTACCCCACCGCCCCGACACATATATGATCAGTATGCTTTCACTGTATCAGTTTTGCAACACTAAAGGAAATTACCCGATCCACTGGAATAGATGATGCTGAAAGTTCCAGAGTAACCAGATTCCACGAAGCTGTCCGATGAGAAGAGCGACAAATACACGAACTGTCCACTGCTTTGGAAGACCAGGGGCGCGTCAAGAGGCAGGTCAGCGCGACAGAAATAACCTAGCAAAGCGTCTCTTTCACTTGTACCTGGTCAAAGGATGAAATAAACATAGTTGGGAGGGTTAATATGTGTTCTCCAACACGGTTTTAACATACCACTGACTGACTGACTGAGTTTAGTTTTACGCCGCTTTTAGCAATATTCCAGCAATATCACGGCGGGGGACACCAGAAATGGGCTTAACACATTGTGCCCATGTGGGGAATCGAACCCGGGTCTTCGGCGTGACGAGCCAACGCTTTAACCACTAGGCTACCCCACCGCCCTTTAACATACCAGCCGCAATGAAAAACAGTTAACAGATGACCGATTGGTGTTTCTCTTTTTACCCTTTTGCCATTTCAAAAAGAAGCGAAATTGGCTATTTAGTCAACATCGTCTACAAACGTGCCGACCACTTTGACACCGGCAACCATGGCCTGAACTTATGAAGTTAAATAACTTGGAAGTTTAAATGGGTTGATTTCGTGAAAACACGTTGGCCGTTCATTTTCAACTGTTCATGTAAACTTCTTTTGTAAAAAGTATAAGAACATTTTAACAAGTCATCAATTCTCATCGCTGTCGCGAATAACCTCACTACTGTATGATCATCCGTTTTCAGAAAACACCGAAGTTAACGGGACAATACACTCTGCAAAGATTTGTAACTAATATCGGAGAATCCAGTGGTTTGTAAACGATGTTTGACGCTCTGAAGCCATCTGATCCCCATTAATCGGTTTTACAAAATACTGTTAGCCCCGGAACCAACACAAGGGAAGTGAGTGAATGAGTTTATTTTTACGCCGCTTTAGTCCAGCAATATCACGGTGGGGGCATAAGAAATGGGGCTTCTCACATTGTACCTACGTGGGGAATCGAACCCGGGTATTAGGCACGACGCTTTAACCACTAGGCTACCCCACCGCCCCCACAAGGGAAGTCCCGACCAACACCGTACATACCGTCGTACACTGCTAGTGTGTCGTGCCTGTTTCGGCACGGTTTCTTGGTGGACCCATATGTTGGGGCACGTTGTATCGTAACTACGTCGTTGCTGTTGTCGCCTCCGATGACCCAGAATCTCCTGACGTTCCTGAAAATACAACAAACAGGTAAAGCCGTCTACCCGGAGTGCATTTTGGACCATTTTAGTCGTGTTTGGGATGTTTTAATTTTACAAGCATGCATATTCAGCAGTGCTATCCAATGCAACTGATAGGAGTATCGATAAAACAGAAGCATAATAGTAATATTGAACGTGTATGTTGTAGTCCAATCCTGCCCAAAACAACACCCAATGTGGGTCATTTTATGACAAACCTGAAGGTCATTGTTGTTGAATGGTTAAATCAAGATACTATGTATATATACTCCCCATCAAAAGTTTAGACTCACTAGTGTAAATGTAGCCACTTACTTCAGTCAACTGTTCTGAACTAGATTTTGTAAAATAATCCATACAGTTTAAAGGTACTGTTTATACATGAGCTGATGCATTGTAAAACAAATTCGTGACGTTGAAAAGTTTATTGTCATGTGTTCAATATATGGTGAAACTCGGTGAAAAATGGCGATTTTTTAACAAAATTTCAGACCAAAACGCAGCTGTTCACATGCACGATATTTGCACATGCTTTTCAGCAATTTGATGCATGAACCTCGTGCTATTAATCTGCATTAGGTTTGCAGATGTTTCCCCCAAGTTAGTGGAGAAATTCATCTTCGTTGTAACCATATGTACATACATAAACTCTGTCAAAAAAGAAACGCAACCCCTGTATTTTAGAGATTTTGATCTGAAGTTTTAAGACGACACAGCATTTTTATTATTTAAGACAGAAGTCTGAAATTTGGCAGAATAATAACCAAGATGGGCATGTTTAAAATTGTCATTTCAAAAGTCATCTCACAGACACCAGTTTGTCACCAGGGGGGCGTCTTTCTCAGTATCTCGTATGAGCACCACGAGCTGCAATCACTGCACGGCATCTCCTTGGACAAGAACGGATAAGACGCCGGATTCTTTCCTGGGGAATGGCTCTCCACTCCTCCTGCAGTGCAACGCCGAGCTGTTGCAGCGTCTGTGGCGGCGGCTGACGTTGACGTACGCGTCGACCCAGAGTATCCCACAGGTGTTCAATAGGGTTGAGGTCTGGTGATTTAGAGGGCTATGGCAAGACATTGACGTTGGAATTCTGCAGAAAGTTCATTGTTGCACGTGCAGTATGAGGCCGGGCGTTGTCTGGTTGAAAAATCTGTGTCTGTTGGTCAATAATCGGGAGAAGGTGAGGCTGTAATACGTGGTTGATGTAACGTTGGGCTGTCAGGTTCCCTTCAACGATCACCAAGTCTGATTTCTGGTTGTATGAGATGGATCCCCAAACCATAACGCTTTCTCCGCCAAATCTGTCCCCTGTCGGACGCAGATGGGCGCAAAACGTTCATGACGTCTCCTATACACACGTTTTCTTCCGTCGTGATGTTGCAAAGAAACAGGATTCATCAGAAAACCAGATGCGCCTCCAGTTTTGTAAAGTCCATATCCTTACGTTGTTGCACCACCTGAGTCGTCGGCGGAGATGTAGGGGCGTAGTACAGGTCCAACAACTGGTCTACAGGCACGTAAACCCGCTTCTTTCAGACGGTTCCTAATCGTTTGAGCTGACACTCTCCTCAAACCTGGTATTTGTGTGGCAGTCACGGTTGGTAGGGCATGCCGATTACGCAGGTGATGGACCCGGATGTACCGATCTTGAAGGGGTCGTGATTCTTGGCCTTCCACTTCTCGGGCGATCGTTGGTCAAATTGAAGTTGTTGTAGCGGCTCCAAAGTCGGGATATCGTTGTTTTGTGATCATTTAGGTGCCGTGCAACAGTTCCAAAACTTTCTCCGGCTTGAACACGACCAATGGCGATATTTCGGTCGGCAGCACTCAATCGTGGCATTTTCACACAGCTTTTCATGCGACAAATGAATGAATATAATACGAAAGCACATGGGCATTTATACACCCCTACATTAACTGCCATTTTCATGATTTGCATGTGTTTTTTTTGTGCGAAGTCACGATGAGGGTCATTTCATGCGTTGTGACGGAATAAGCAATAAAATACACTTATGCGTACAAATGCAGTTGTTTGGATGGTAATCTTCATTAATTACGTGTATAATTTCAATACATTCGAATAACATTTAGTTTGGAAGCAATAACTTCATTCAAACGAATTTTTCATATCTGAGGACAGGGGTTGCGTTTCTTTTTTGACAGAGTTTAACTTATAGTGATTGATTTAAGCGAGTCTAAACTTTTGATGGGTAGTAGACTTTACCTTTGGTACGAGTAAGGGTAGTTAGGGGAGTCGAATCTGGAGACGTCCGGAGTGGCCGTGTACGCTACGACGCTGGAATTATCTGTGGTAAAAAAAGTCGTATATGTTAAATCATCGGGTGTTCAAACTGATTTAGGGTTGGGGGTCATTCGTGGTTCTGATGAACACTTTTCGGGGGTAAGCGTTATAGGCGATCATTTAATAACGATAATAATTATAATAATGTCATTTGTAATGCGCTGAAAACCGCACCACAATCTGATGATTATTACCCCCCGATAGCCCCATTCTCTTCCCACTGAGGTTACTCTTGTCATATCTTCCTACGTAACCTCTGTTCTAATACGGCCCTTTCATGGTGTGAGCGTTCAAGACTCGTGATTGGAGGCAATCAGATTTAGTTGTGCAATCAGCGACGTTGTTTCAAAAGTGATCATTCGCAAGGCCTCGGTAATTTCCGTATACTTCGAGAAAACTAAACCTCTTCCAAACGTTTCTTCTAGACAGAACTCAGTCATGTTATGGCGGATCAGTGGCGTCTCCATCGCCCTCGATGACAACGGACAAGCTAGCCATTAAACGTCTTGTGTGTAACATCAACACAAGTCCCCGGCAGATGGGGTATATTTGTGGCCTCACATTTGCTTGTGTTAGTCAAGTTGAATCTAAGTCGATGTAACACGTGTTCTGATTGGATAGAAAAAAGGGAGATAATTCGTGTTGCGATCTTTTGCCGCTAGGGGATTTTACGAGAAACGGGAAATATGGCCGTATTAGAACAGAGGTTACGCAGGAAGATATGACAGGAGTAAACTCTGTGGGAAGAGAATGCGATAACCCAAGCTGACTGTGAGGCGCTAGAAGGTAAATAGTCACATGACTTATCCCATCGGGTACTTATTATCTGCTGGGTGAACAGAGGCAATTGTGAACAAGCTCAAAGGTGAGACCATATGTATCACATGTGCTTCGTTGTGGAGCAGGACTAAAGTCCTAGAAACTCTCAGGAGTCAAGCTACCAAACACGGCCATTTGAAGGTAACAGGACCAAATGGTTTCGTTGGCATGTCAACGGGCAGTGCTTACCTCCTGACGGATGGACGCTGTAATATGCCAGTTTAAATCCTGTGTGGGTTATCGTACTGTCCGCCTTGAAGGTTATATAAAGACTGGAACCAAAGGACTGAAGTGTAGACATCGAATACCCTGGTCCACACATCTCGCGTCGTAGGTGATTTGTTGTGGTACCTTAAGTGGAAAACATCACACTTGGAGACTGATTGTTTCAAGTACCTTCTTGGACAAAGATGTTTCACATGTTATTCGAAAATGGAAATACATCTTGAGTTTTAGACTGAGTCATGTGGTCTCCGTTGCACAAAACGATCTTAGCTAAGGTGATCGTAACTTATATATTTTAACATAGTCTTGCGATCGTCGTAGACAGTGTATGAAATAAGCCAAAAAAAGCCAGATATCAGGGCTGGTAACAAAAGGCTACCAGTCCAAAACGGATTTAACCAGACTAGACAATCCTAAGAAAATAAAAAAATTTAAGCATTTCGGTAATATTGAAATGTACACGCAGTGCTTCGAGTTTGCAGAACTCTAAGTATCGCTATTTTCGAGATGATGTATATATGTCAACGCAGTGCTTTCAGCTTGCGATACGATATTTGAACGTTCAAGTAATTGTCTAGTCTAAATGTAACGCTCAGTTTGAAAAATAGATTTTAAGATACTCAGATGTATGGAACATATTATTTAATATTTTTTACCAGACCATTGGGCTGGCCAGTAGTAAATTAAGACCGCCAGTCAGACGTCTAGCCCGTCTCGGGCGGCCGGACTGGCTTTATTTCATACACTGTCGTAGATTGTCGATGGCGTTATGCTTTGTCCTTGATAGCTTCACGAATACGGCAATAACACATTGGCACACTTTTGACAAAGACCCATGAGGGAAAGACCCACATCGCGTAATTTCTGTATGTATTTATATTTATCAAGACTACTGCACTTTACGCACCCTCGTACACGTTGATGACGTCATGGTCGCAGCTGTGTGTATCAATGTGTATGATCTCCAACTTTACGTTATCTGTGGAGTGCCGACTGCTGATCACCCAGCTGCAGTTGGCGTTGCTATGGAAAATAATAAATCCACGAATGACAGACCTGTCTTGGGCACAATACTACAGTAAACGTCTCTACTGCTGCTACTACTGTTACAAGTGACCCGTTTGTTTAATCACAAAGCCAGAAACTATTCTTCACATGCGTTCAAAGCAAAGGACCCAACATTCAACACGAACCTCAACCACATTTCATAAGGAGCAAGGACTAGGATGGTGTCCAACCAAGGATCGAAATCGTGCCCATACTTGCTGTAACCTCAGGACTAGGATAGGATATTTATATAGCGCACATATACATGCTCAAGGCGCTGGTATTTTGTTCCCTCGATCATTTGAGAACTGCATCTGTTATCTTTGTTTTAACGCTGCAGTCAGCAACATTCCAGCTATATAGCGGCGGTCTGTAAATAATTAAGTCTGGACCAGACAATCCAGTGATCAACAGCATGAACATTGAGCTATGCAATTGGGATACGATGACATATGTCAACCAAGTCAGCGAGCCTGACCACCTGATCCCGTTAGTCGCCTCTAACGACAAGCGTGTGTTGCTGAAGACCAATACTAAAACGGATCCTCTCGGATGAAAACTGAATCTGACCAAAACATATCACACATTATCAAATCATAACAAGGTTGAAAAATATCCCAGAAACCATACAAACTTCAGACAAAACCGAACTATGACATCCGCGTGGCATAAATTACCATATCTTGTCTGTTTCATTTCAGCAAACATTAAACATGCCTGTATACCTACTTTCCCAGCAATTAATATGCGACAGGCTACAAAACTCACTTTGGGTAATTGGCAGGATATCCCGGTGAACTGAGGTAGTTCCACTCAGAGGATGCGTACAGCCTCTTGCTCTCACAGCTGACTGGAAGTACAGAACCGACATATAAAACCCATGAACGGACAAAGTATATTATAACAGATAATTAGGCATCTACATTTGCAAATGGAAACTATTAGTTACCTCTTTTAATAAGTCCCTTTGTAAATGTTGCATTGTACACAATTCTACGCTTCACTGCTTATTGGTTATCTGTATACATATGTCCGTCTGTAATCGGAGGCATGGCAAAAGTCCTTTCGTCACCACTCGCTCCTTTCCGTAACCTCCAAGAAGTCCCGGAATAACACGAGTTGGTCGCGAATGGCCCTTCCCGTGATGCCTCACACAGAGACCTGACATTGCCATGACATGATAACAATGGAAGGGAGGCAATTCAGAGCCATCGCCTCAATGTCTAAGTGTAGTTGATAGAAAAAGGTTTTAGACTATTAGATGTAAGTTTGAAATGAATGATAAATTGACAGAAGGCACAGGGATACTCACAGCCCGACTCCCGCCAGAATCTGGCGTTGAAACTTCGTTCTGACAGGAAGTTGTCGATGACCACCATGAGGAAGAAGCCACCCAAGGAGGTCACGTTCCCCTGTCGACTGTTGCACCAGGTCATGACTTCTTGTGTTTGATCGTTGTCTAAAAACAAGATAGAAGGTTTCCCTATGTCATCGCTACATTCACAGCAAGTTTTAAAGGACGTGAAATCATCCTTTCCATCAAAACAATTTTGATTTTGATGGCTTCTGTCATGTTTCAAGAAAAAAATGTTTTCGCAAAGTCTATTAAAATCAACGGGGCCAGCCGCCATGTTGTTGATACAGCCAATCCAACAAGGCTGGGTTGTAACTCACATTCTGATTGGTACGTTAGCCGTAGTAGCATAGCCAATTAAATTGCCGAAACGAAATCGAGGGCGGGTAATTTGAAATGACCGAGAACCACGCGATTGGATCCAGGATTTAGTCTAATTTTACTGAATTGCTAGTACTGGAGATACAGAGGATGAATTTTCTCTTCTACAGTTGGTTAGCGAGAGGCCCCACTTACCACTTGAAGCCATTAAGTAGTTGTTAGCACAGGTGGAAGAGTGGGACAGGAACACACCAGATACTTCCAGGTGCGTGAGACCTCTGCTGCCATCTGTCCGCAGCTCCCATCTACAGTTAGTGTTGCTGAAAGACATTAAACAAGTATGGAGAAACGGTGTGTGTTTGTCATAACATATGGTTTTGTTCCACTCTGTTTGTTCGTTATTGACGCCGCTCTGTGATATTCCAGCTGTATGGTGGCGGTATGTAAATAATCGACAATCCAGTGATTGGCCCAAGAATCGATGTTACATTAGTTGGTTGGTTGTTTGGTTGTTTAACGCCGCACTCAGCAATATTCCAGTTATATGGCGGCGACCTGTAAAAAATCGAGTCTGGACCAGACAATCCAGTGATTGACCTGAAATCAGGGTCTACACTGGTGATGCGATGACACACATCAAGCAAGTCAGCGGACCTGACCATCTGATCCCGTTGGTCGCCTCTTTCCTCAAAAATGGATTGCTAATGACTATTTCCAGCATGGACCTTCAGTGGACGTTCCAACTAAAATATATATCCTCAAGGAAAGGGTGTTTAGGCAAGTAGATCTGCCACATTTCACATCTGGCGAAGTTGCATTTCATGTTCAACCATGAAAGGTGTTTTGTTCTTGTAGTTCATGTAGAAAGATGTTATTTGAACACTTCAGTTGTATCAGGCCACACTAAGTCAAATCCAAAGTGTACCGGTCTCGCGACCTCTTCAACATTAGTGAAATCAGCGAGTACAGGTATGATATTGATAGATATAGAGAATCATCAATTTATAATTTTGGATTCGAACCTGATTCTGTCAATACTAAGTCCCACAAACTAAGCAAGGCCTGATCCACAAGAAATATGCTAATTATAGGAACACGTTCATAGTAAAACACACGACCCTGTTATTATACGTCTTCCTTGTGTTATTTACCTGGGGAAGTTGTTGTTGAGCTTCATCCGGGATGTTGGGAACGTGAGCCTCTGTGCCGCGTTTGTCACGAAGAGAATCTCGGTGTCTCCATTACAGTTTTCTGAAACGTAACATATTACAATGGTCTATTGTTCTTCCTTCTATTAAATGACGACACACACAGGCCTACGTGTGGCATCTGATCGGCGCTTCACAGACTTACATTTGGTATCTCATCAAAGTTACTACTAGGACCTACGTGTGGCATCTGATCGGCGCTACACAGACTTACATTTGGTATCTCATCAAAGTTACTACTAGGACCTACGTGTGGCATCTGATCGGCGCTACACAGACTTACATTTGGTATCTCATCAAAGTTACTACTAGGACCTACGTGTGGCATCTGATCGGCGCTACAAAACATTTGGTACTTACATTAGTGGTGATCTCATCAAAGTTACTACTAGGTCCAATGTGTGGCGTCTGATCGGTGCTACACAGACTTACATTTGGTATCTCATCAAAATTACTACTAGGTCCAATGTGTGGCGTCTGATCGGTGCTACACAGACTTACATTTGGTATCTCATCAAAGTTGCTACTAGGACCTAGGTGTGGCGTCTAATCTGTGCTAAACAGACTTACATTTGGTGTCTCATCAAAGTTACTACTAGGACCTAGATGTGGCGTCTGATCGGTGTTACACAGACATACATTTGGTATCTCATCAAAGTTACTACTAGGACCTACGTGTGGCATCTGATCGGTGCTACACAGACTTACATTTGGTATCTCATCAAAGTTACTACTAAGACTTACGTGTGGTGTCTTCTCAGTGCTACACAGACTTACGTTTGGTGTCTCATCAAAGCTAATAATAGAACTTATGTGTGGTGTCTCATCAGTGTTATACAGATTTACATTTGGTGTCTCATCACAGCTACACAGACTTGCCTATATTGTCTCCTCAGTGTTACAGAGACTTACGTGTGGTGTCTCATCACAGCTACTACATGTGGCGTCTCTATTAGGGCTTACGTGTGGTGTCTCTACTAGGACTTACATGTGGCGTCTCTATTAGAGCTTGCGTGTGGTGTCTCTACTAGGACTTACATGTGGCGTCTCTGTTAGGACTTACGTGTGGTGTCTCTACTAGAACTTACATGTGGCGTCTCTATTAGGGCTAACGTGTGGTGTCTCTACTAGGACGTACGTGTGCCGTCTCTATTAGGACTTACATGAGGCGTCTTTATTAGGACTTACATGTGGCGTCTCTACTAGGACTTACGTGTGGTATCGATGACAAGCCAGAAGCCACCGTTTTCTACTGGTGTCTTGACTTTGATTCTCAGCGTGGAACCAGTCCCGGAAATGTCAGCGGAGTCGTGTATTGAACACACGCCAATGAGGCGGGCTCTTTCGTTTGTACCTGTTAAATCGCGGAAATAATGCTAAGAAATAGTTAAAAGACGATGATAATTACTTAGACTGAAGATTTACTGAAAGGGGTTGTACGTTGTACGACGTGAATAGATCATTTAGTTGGACATTGAACTGTGAAAACTTCATCAGATGATTTCATTTGTAATAGCCCTGAAAGGTCATACCGTCATAAACATCTACGAGTTCCGTGTAGGACATCTGGATCTCGTGCCGCCATTTGTCTTGAGCCTCGACGTTGACGCATCGCTCGGCGACGTCAGCTCTAACGTTGATCACCGGTCTTCAAATACATACAACATTAATGTACGATATACACAACTGAATCATCCGTTGATTACATGTTCAAAGTTCTAACCAAAAGATATTTCTTTCTCTTCCGAAAGGAGCATGTACATGTAAGATAATCCACTAAATCCCTAGGCTCAGTGTTACGTCCATGTTTCACGTTACAAAGGACCTGTGAAGATCCGGGTTAGAATTGGTCTTCAGAAGCACATGCTGGCGACTAATGGGATATCCGGGTGGTTTGGCTCACTGACTTGGTTGACACATGTCATCGTATCCCAACTGCGTCGATCGATGTTCATGTTGTTGATCACTGTATTGCCTGGCCCAAACTAAAATATTTACAGACCCTCGCCATATAGCTGGAATGTTGCTGAGTGCGGCGTTAAACAACCAACCAATCAACGTTACAAGGGGACATGGACTGCAGAGTTGCGTCCCGTTGGCCGGCCTGAAATCATTCCTGTCACACTATCACATGAACGGCCTTTTCGAAAATAGATTCTTCTCTGTGGTTAGGGAAGGGACGATATTGACGAGAATGGTATCATCGACAGTAGGTATGCTAGATTCAAATGTAACATATGTTATGTTTGGGATTACACTTTCTTAGTAAAGTACATATTCTAGTACCTTTGTTGGGTTATGTCCCATCAGGGATTCGAACCCACACCCTCAGAGTCAGGCACCTAATCGCCAGCACACAAAGTCAGCCGCCTAACCCGCCAAAGTGGTAAACGTCTACCCGTGAAGATCCGGGTTAGAATATTGGCCTTCAGTAACCCATGCTTGTCGTAAGAGGCGCCTAATCGGGTGGTCAGGCTCGCTGACTTGGTTGACACATGTCATCGGTTCCCACTTGTGCAGATCGATGCTCGCGTTGTTGATCACTGGATTGTCTGGTCCAGACTCGATTATTTACAGACCGCCGCCATATACCTGGAATATTGCTGAGTGCGGCGTAAAACTAAACTCACTCACTCTCACGTCTACCATTTCCACGATTTCAGGGTTTCTCTCCAACATCACGCTCACGCTGAACGTGGCCGCCATGTGAGAGTTTCTTCTAAATATGTTTGTTGTTTAACGCCGCACTCAGCAATATTCCAGCTATGACAGAAAGCAAAACTGTTCATGATGGACATGGTGGATTTTGAGTGTGTTGATATACAAATTGTTTGGTTCCATAATAACTTTGATACAAAGATACACTTCTTATCTGTCGTGTAGAGGTCAAACAGAACGAGGATACGTGTGAACTGACACACAGCAATAAGGGGATGCTCCGTGGGGCATCTGACCACTCACCTTTGAACATCAGTACCCATAGACGGAACCCAGACAAACGATCTAGCAGTAACAGCTTCCTTGTGATATTCCTCAAAGAAATCTGTAAATAAATATCATCGTTTACTGCTGTAAGGCTACTGCATGCTCCTGGGGGTGTTAGTTTTTCAATACTGAGATTGTTGGCAGGGTGATTCTTGTTTCTGTGATTCTAGTAACTGTCATATTCCCGAAAGTATCCTTTCAATTTTTCCAGATTCAACCATGTTTTTGATCACATGTTCAGTGGAAAACAAATGTAACAGACAGAACGGATTTGAAGTGAACTATTTGTATTATAGATAGCACTTGACGTTTTGGGGATACCAGCATTTCTTGCTGTGGGGGTATTCACTTGTTTATTGGCATCTATTCCTTAACATTCCCTTTAAGGCCACAACATTCCTTGCTCCAAACTCCTTGTGTGGAGCCCCGGTTAACCGGCTGTACGAGGTGACTACATCGAGGTCAGACTCGGGAAAGCAGAAAATGCCCATAATATCAGCCACTTGTTGTTAACACTGTCTGATTGAGCCATTTACAAAGGGACAAACACCACCACTCTCAAAACCACAGGGATTACGGACCATTACAATGAGTATATGAATATATACTGCAACTTGTTCTTCACTTACATTTATGTGTGGAGTAATATTTGATCCTGAATCCTTTCTTTATTTTATTGCGGCTCAACACCTTGAGCTGGGAGCTGATGTACGCCGAGTTTCCGGAGGTGCGCACAAACCCAAAGGGCCGGACACCCCCGCAGCTTGTCACGAGTGGGCTCCCCTTGTCGTCACTTCCTGTAACGTAATCAGTCCATGGAATATACGATATTTCATTGCAAGAAATATTTAGCCATGTGAGAGTTGCGCATTTGTTCTTTATACCACGACGTGTCAGCTTAAAGTAGGAAAAAGAAGAAGTGGGATGAGCGAGTTGACACCAATGTTAGAAATATTCCATCTATTTCGGCAGCTGATATGGACTTTGCACATTATATATACAGGAAATATTCCAAACTCACTCACTCACTAATATAGTAAACTACGATATTTACGAACGCACTTACAGAGCTGGGTCCCGATCCACACAGCGTTCGTATCGTTACGACCTGTCGTAACTCTATAGTTTATCATAGGCTTATCGTTTTATCGTAGCGCTACAAACGTTTAGTGGATCGGTACCCTGGGGATATAATTTAGGCCCAATCCGTATGGAGAACTACGGTTATAACGAACTAAATCTAGTGGTCCTTTCAAGTTCGTTATAAACGTGGTTCATTCATACTGTTTTATATATCAATTGAGTGTTACCAGTATCTGAACTGGTCAGACCGATGGGACGTAACTATTGCCTACATATTGTATGGGTATTGCATATCTAGTATACTCATACAACAAGTTACCATCAAAAATCTTGAAAGGGGTGTCATCACAGGACAGCACATCACTATCCCAGGATACAGTCTCCAGCACTATCACCTCATCCTGGGTCTGAGCTTGTATAATCCACGAACATTCCATCATTCTGAAACACAATCACAAACATATCCAGGTAGCGTCATACCAGAGCAGTTAAACTGACATGTTGTCCCAGAAATAAAGCATCTTGTTGGTAAGGGGCGTGGAGACAAAAGAGAATGACTAGATAAGGGAAACAACATGTAGATTTCAGCAGGGTCTTTATTGTTGTTTGTGTGTTAGTTGCAATATATAGTGTGGCTATCCTAACACTGAGGTAACGGTCTAAGTGGACACCGTTTTACGAGATTCTCAGCACTGTTACAGTGACATACCTGTTTTCACCGTCGGTCAGAGACAACAGTTCTGCGGTGTGGTGAGCTGGTAGCAACCGGATACGGCTCCCGTTACAGTGGGTGTTTTCTGGGGATATAAGGAGGTGAGGTGAGGTGAAATTGGATTTAACGTCGTGCTTGAGAATATTTCGCTCATATGACGACGTGCATGCGTGTGTATGTGTATGTGCGGCTGCTTGTACTAGCCCAGACTTAAGCTGGTTTTATAGTGCTAGCCCACTGAGATACCATGCCGCAGTGAAGCATGGATACCCCACTCAGACACATTATACTGACTCCGAGCGAACCAGTCCTTGTTGTACCCATTAATGCCGAGCGCCAGGCAGGGACCAACAAGTACCATATTTTAACGTCTTTTGGTATGACGCGGTCGGGGATCGAACCCGCGACCTTCCGCTCTCCGGGCGGACGCTCTAACCACTACACCACGGAGGCGGTCAGGATATAAGGAGATATACTGAATACATAATGAATCGGTGAAAACATATACATAATAGTAATTTATCTTTGACCAGACTGTTTTCAGTCATCAAGATTTCTTTTTATGCTAGTGTGAATAAACTTGAAATGCTGGTTTTATTGTTAGTACTTCATTGTCAGATCCATGTGGTTCTGTTGGTGAAACTCGCTTTGTGGAACGAGGCCTATGCCCCTCATCCAAAAAGCGTCCTTAACATTACGACGTCCTAAAATCCCGTTATATCATCGAGTAACCATAGTAACAGTCTGTGAACTTTTGTTGATCGGGTTAACAAATAAGATTAACCCGTGACTTAAAGCATAAGCAGAGGTCCCAACTATAGGCACATGATGAAATACAATCAGGTATGTCACGAGTCTGTTCAGCTTATCCATATAGTATTTTGCGAACAGACGTCTGGTCCACGTTCTTGGCGCTAAGGTTTCGTAATTCCCATTCTTACGAGTGAGTGAGTGAGTGAGTCTGGTTTTACTCCGCTTGTAGCAATATTCCAGCAGTATCACGGTAGGGGGCACCAGAAATGGGCTTCACACATTGTATCCATGTGGGTAAGCGAACCCGGCCATCGGCGTAACGAGCGAACGTTTTAACCACTAGGCTACCCCACCGCCCCAAGGCTTACGATTATCGTATAGCTAAGATGTATCTGTAAAGGGCACTTGGGGACCGATTCCACGCCATTTTTGGAAATGTTAAACATTAAGAAAAGCAATATTTCATGTACATCATCGAGGCTTTTAGACAGAAAAATCTGTGTCCTGATTCACCATGCGATCGTCACCCTACGACTGTCTTTGGGACAGGTTATATCTTGGTGTTTATACAGTGTATATTGGGACAGAAATATTGTTGTTTAGCAATATTCCAGCTGTATGGAGGCAGTCTGTAAATAATCAAATCTGCCCCGTACCATCCAGTGATCAGCACCATAAGCATCGATCTAAGCAGTTGGAATACGATGACATGTGTCAACCAAGTCAGCGAGTCTTACCACCCGATCCCGTTAGTCGCCTTTTCCGACAAGCATGGGTTGCTGAAGACCAATTCTAACCCGGATCTCCACGGGTTGTTAGGGACGCGTACTCACGGATATATGTACTGTACACGCGGAGAAGGAAACCGGTATTATCCTTAGTGCGGTCAGTTCTCAGTGTAGCCAGAACATAGCTTTTGCCAGAGAAGAACCTCTGTCCGGTAGACCCGCACCAGACAGCCTCTGAAACAGTGAGTGAATGAGTGAGTTTAGTTTTACGCCGCACTCTGCAATATCCCAGCTATATGGCGGCAGTCTATAAATAATCGAGTCTGGACCAGACAATCCAGTGATCAACAGCATGAGCATCGATCTCCGCAGATGGGGTACGACGACATGTGTCAACCAGGTCAGCGAGCCTGACCACCCGATCCCGTTAGTCGTCTCTTACGACAAGCATGGGTTACTGAAGATCAATTCTAACCAGGATCGTCACGGGTCTCAGCAGTTCGAGACTCTCCGACCTTAGTAAACCTAGAGATGCTGGGAAACTGAAGACCGGGATCTTCGAGGGTTGAAATACAGACTTGAACAATAGGTATAAGTAGTAGATATAAAGGATAAACATGAACGAAAATACATGGTTCAGCAACAATAAAACGTGGCGGTCACTCAAAACTATAAATTACAGATCAGCAGTGATGACTGAATAAATAACGCGCTGATTTGATCAGCTTACCATGTGCCTCTGACTTCAGGGTGAGGTTGTCGAACTGGCATCTACCGGTGTCCCCTGTGGGTTCCAGGCTGAACTCCACCGCCTCGACATTCACCTGCTGAAGAACATCCTGTGGCTGCAGTGTCCACGACATCTTCAGGTTACTGTTTGTGTGACACAAGGGTGGTGAGTTTAGTGGGTTTAGTTGTACGCCTACCTCAGCAATATTCCAGCCATATGGCAGGAGACAAGTGGGGTTAATCCAAGACTGATCATAGTTCAATACAGGACGTGTCCCAAGGGTCTCTGACAAAGTATATAGGCGAGAGTATATTGTTTCAGTTATTTATGTTGTTTAGGTATAATCAGTATTATACCAGTTGTATTGGGGAGCCGGTATATGAGTCTGGACGACACAAACCAGTGGTCGATAGTATGAGTAACGGTCAACGCCATTGGATCGGAACCCACGTAACTAACTCGACCATTCGTGAGCTCAAGGACGTATTATCTGAGACGTACTCTGTCCTATTTTCTTCCTATCAACTGAATAACTAGACAATTTTGAGTCAATGAAACTCGAAAAAAGGTTTCAACGACAGTCCAATTAAAGTGATATGCCTAATATTAAACCGATATCTTTTCAGGGGAAGCTTGAGAAATAGTCTTCACACCTTGTATCTATGTGGGGAATAAGCTGCGTGCCTTCGAGTTCACCAAAGATTGCATTGACTTCTAGGCTGAAGAACGTTACCATGGAATTGCCTCATGATATGATGTTCATAACCTTACATGTCATACATCGTGGAACGTACAACAACTGTTCTATGAACTAGAGTTTAGACGTGTGCTGTTTCCGGGGTTAAAGTCAAGTAGTTATCAGGCTGTTCCTATTTTTTATGTGCCTGCCGACTGCCCTAATTTTGATTCCGACGTGAAATATGAAAGGTTTCCGTATCTCAGTATCCCCGACACTGTGGAGATTGCCCTTGATATTGGTCTCAGACTGAGTGAGTGAGTGAATGAGTTTAGTTTTACGCCGCACTCAGTAACATTACAGCTATATGACGGCGGTCTGTACATAATCGAGTCTGGACCAGACAATCCAGTGATCAACAGCATAAGCATCGATCTAAGCAGTTGGGATACCATGACATGTGTCAACTAAGTCAGTGAGCCTGACCATCCGATCCCGTTAATCGCCTCTTACGACAAGCATAGGTCATTACTGAAGATCAATTCTAACCCGGATATCAAGGGTTATCTTTGGTCTCAGAGGTGTAAAATAATATATATTTACGTTTTAACGTTTTACTCATGGCCCCAACAACTAACACTTTCCGTGACTCGGAAATGGTCATATATATATATTTTAATGCGAAATGGTTGTGATACTTTCTTACGACCGTCCTCTTTCGCCGTTTGATGTCCTCACATCTATATACGCCACCCCTTCACCCCAATAATCCCACCCTTCCCCTGCCCATGCCAAAAAGAACAGTTAGAGCTATCAGTGTAAGCTTTGTCGTATATACTTACTTAATATAGGATGAAGGGTACCCCAGAGAGTATATATACATTGGGGCTTGTCCCACTAAAATAGTCTCTCTCAGCTCCTTTCCAAAGTAGCTCCCTACAAGGGTAAAAGTATATAGTTAAAAAAAGTAAAAGTTTAAAGCTTACACTAAAGTCAGGTCGATAGAGTGAGTGAGTGAGTGTGAGAGTGAGTGTGTGAGTGAGTGTGTGTGTGAGAGAGTGTATGTGTGCGAGTGAGTGTGTGAGTGAGTGTGAGTGAGTGAGTGAGTGAGTGAGTCCGTCCGTCCCGTCCGTCAGTCAGTCAGTGAACTATGTGTAGCACAATAACTCTATATATCACCATGGCCTAATTGGATGGACGATGTATTGGGTGAATAGGGGCATTTCTATAGTCATATGTCTGTCTGTGCACTTCTCCGTACTAATGATTATGATAAGCTCATTGACATACCATGCCATAGACTACTGTCAAGTAAAGTAAAAACAGTATTGTGATTTCGTTGCCAGTATCAATTCCAAAACTATTTGGGACGTGGCCTGAAGCTACCACCAGGCAAAACGTCAGAGTGTGAAAACGACACCGACTGGTGAATACCTAACCTCGCCCACAGCGAAAAGGGCATTTCCGACATCCAATTTACACTTATCAGAGGGTGCACGGAGTACGTGATCTAGTCTACCAGTTGTCAGGCTTCCATCTTTGTGAACTTTGCAGTGGTTTAGTGGATGAGACCGCTGACTTTGTATGCAGCATGGTGCCTCAGTCTGACAAAGTGTTCGGATCCAAGATGGGTTCAAACCACAAACGCACAAGAATGTGTACTTACCCAACATACTCCAACATGAACCAATATTCAATAAAGTCAATAGACTTCAGAAAACATCCCTCTCATTCAAATATACTGACTGACTGACTGACTGAGTTTAGTTTTACGCCGCTTTTAGCAATATTCCAGCAATATCACGGCGGGGGACACCAGAAATGGGCTTAACACATTGTGCCCATGTGGGGAATCGAACCCGGGCCTTCGGCGTGACGAGCCAACGCTTTAACCACTAGGCTACCCCACCGCCCCCATTCAAATATACAGTAAACTAAGTTTACAACGACGGGTACAACGTTTTCGTATATCTTAAGTGCGTATAACGAACTACGGTCCTAAATCGTCCTAAGTTCGTTATGGAATATACATGATAGTCTTTTTCTGAGGGGGAGTAAAGAAGTTTTACATTTGTAAAGAAGTATTGTATTTGCAAAGAAGTATTGTATTTGTAAAGAAGTATTGTATTTGTAAAGAAGTATTACATTTGCAAAGAAGTATTGTATTTGTAAAGAAGTATTGTATTTGTAAAGAAGTATTGCATTTGTAAAGAAGTATTGTATTTGTAAAGAAGTAAGTATTGTATTTGTAAAGAAGTATTGTATTTGTAAAGAAGTATTGTATTTGTAAAGAAGTATGACATTTGTAAAGAAGTATTACATTTATAAAGAAATATTTTATTTGTAAAGAAGTATTGTATTTGTAAAGAAGTATTGCATTTGCAAAGGAAGTACTATATTTGCAAAGAAGTATTGTATTTGTAAAGAAGTATTGTATTTGTAATGTATTTGCAAAGAAGTATTATATTTATAAAGAAGTATCGTATTTGTAAAGAAGCTTGTATTTGTAGAAAAAGTATTGTATTTGTGAAGAGGTATCACGAGAAGCCTGGTCAATAATGAGACAAAACAAATGATTGATAAAATTAGCAACGTCAATCGCCGTTGGGGTACAATGACTGACAATCAACTAAGTCACTAACACCGGACCCAGTACCTCTTTTCAACAGTATACCTCTTCTAAGCAAGAACCAATGGATTCTAAAACAACAGGACTGCTGAACGGCCTTACCTTCATGTGCAGTGACTTCTATCGTGAAGTCCAGCGAGGTCTCAATCCCAGCCTTGTATCGGATCATCACGGGCCCTTTGATGTATAGAGACTTGGCAAATGACTGTCCACACCATCGTCCAAGAGAGATCCAGTTGCCTGACGTAAGCGGGTAGTTTTCTGCAATACACATTTACACGTTGCATGACGATGATGTTACGTTTGTGCTCATTTAACCCAGCAGGCTGTGAGGTAGCCTAGTTGTTAAAGCGTTCGCTTGCTTCGCCGAAAGCCCGGGTTACCCACAAGAGGTAAATGCACGAAGCCCGTTTCTGATGTCCCCAACCGCGATATTGCTGACATGAGTCACTCACTTTTAACCTAAGCGATTACCTTCATCCGTACTGATTGTTATGTTTCTGCAACTATTGAAAGCGAACAATTTAGATAATAATTAATACGTCAAGGTTTCACATCTGATCCATTTCGATATTCACAACTGTCTCCTACTTCTTAGTGTACTAACTGGGCGGTGGGGTAGCCAAGTGGTTAAAGCGTTCGCTCGTCACGCCGAAGACCTGGGTTCGTTTCCCCACATGGGTACAATGTGTGAAGCCCATTCCTGGTGTCCCCCGCCGCGATATGGTTGGAATATTGCTAAAAGTGGCGTGCGTCTGTTAATTTCATAGTTTGATCTACATTAGAAAACACCTTTCTTCAAATGTAATATTAAAAGCCCCAAAGCAGGCAGTTACAAAGATTTCTATATTACTTACTTGTAGGATATGCATAAATCACAGCTGATGAGGCTAGGGGTGAGGTGAGGTGAAATTGGGTTTAACGTCGTGCTTGAGAATATTTTGCTCATATGACGACGTGCATGCATGTGTATGTGTATGTGTGGCTGCTTGTACTAGCCCAGACTTAAGCTGGTTTTATAGTGCTAGCTCACTGAGATACCATGCCGCAGTGAAGCATGAATACCCCACTCAGACACATTATACTGACTCCGAGCCGACCAGTCCTTGTTGTACCCATTAATGCCGAGCGCCATGCAGGGACCAACAAGTACCATATTTTAACGTCTTTTGGTATGACGCGGTCGGGGATCGAACCCGCGACCTTCCGCTCTCCGGGCGGACGCTCTAACCACTACACCACGGAGGTGGTCGATGAGGCTAGGGATTACAGCGTGTGTCGCGGGTGATCTACATACATACTTACTCACTCACTCACTAGTGTGCTAACTAGTAAACAGTATATATGTGTACTAATTAGTTTCCCCACATTTGCTTATTGGTAATGCTATTTTTCCTACCCGTTAATATCTCGATGTACTCTTCGTGACAGCCGATGCTCTCCTCCAAGTAGAATCTCGAGGTCTTGATGTGGAGTATGTCAGGTGGGTATTGAGGACTCAAGCTGAAATCACAGGTTGTGTTGCTGGAACAGAGAGGGAATGAGTTCTTGAATGTTGTTTTAAGCCGCAGTCGGGAATCAGGCAATCTGGTTGCATAAAATACGATCATCCAGATCACATGGTCTCTTTTAACTCATGAACTGCTTGAGATGTTTGGTCTGGTTCTCGTCTGGAACAAGGGAAGTTGTCCACGATATCTGATATTATCAGAGTTCCACATGTCAGACACTGTGTTACATTCTATATCTGTGAGTTCAGCCACATAAACCCTGGCGAACAAAACCGTCAAAATCTTTTACATAATCATAATACGTATCTGCTAAAAGCAGCATTCACCGTATGTTTATGTTTATATATGATTATTATTCTCCATAGTGATGATTCAGGTTCTGCTGGGGTGTTTATGCTTATATATGATTATTATTCCCCATAGTGATGATTCAGGCTCTGCTGGGGTGTTTATGTTTATATATGATTATTATTCCCCATACTGATGATTCAGGTTCTTCTGGGGTGTTTATGTTTATATATGATTATTATTCCCCATAGTGATGATTCAGGTTCTGCTGGGGTGTTTATGTTTATATATGATTATTATTCCCCATAGTGATGATTCAGGTTCTTCTGGGGTGTTTATGTTTATATATGATTATTATTCCCCATAGTGATGATTCAGGTTCTGCTGGGGTGTTTATGTTTATATATGATTATTATTCCCCTATAGAGATGATTCAGGTTCTTCTGGGGTGTTTATGTTTATATATGATTATTATTCCCCATAGTGATGATTCAGGTTCTGCTGGGGTGTTTATGTTTATATATGATTATTATTCCCCATAGAGATGATTCAGGTTCTTCTGGGGTGTTTATGTTTATATATGATTATTATTCCCCATAGTGATGATTCAGGTTCTCAAAGTGTTTATGTTTATATATGATTATTATTCCCCATAGAGATGATTCAGGTTCTTCTGGGGTGTTTATGTTTATATATGATTATTATTCCCCATAGTGATGATTCAGGTTCTGCTGGGGTGTTTATGTTTATATATGATTATTATTCCCCATAGAGATGATTCAGGTTCTTCTGGGGGTGTTTATGTTTATATATGATTATTATTCCCCAAAGTGATGATTCAGGTTCTTCTGGGGTGTTTATGTTTATATATGATTATTATTCCCCATACTGATGATTCAGGTTCTTCTGGGGTGTTTATGTTTATATATGATTATTATTCCCATAGAGATGATTCAGGTTCTTCTGGGGTGTTTATGTTTATATATGATTATTATTCCCATACTGATGATTCAGGTTCTTCTGGGGTGTTTATGTTTATATATGATTATTATTCCCCATAGTGATGATTCAGGTTCTGCTGGGGTGTTTATGTTTATATATGATTATTATTCCCCATAGTGATGATTCAGGTTCTTCTGGGGTGTTTATGTTTATATATGATTATTATTCCCCATAGTGATGATTCAGGTTCTGCTGGGGTGTTTATGTTTATATATGATTATTATTCCCCATAGAGATGATTCAGGTTCTTCTGGGGTGTTTATGTTTATATATGATTATTATTCCCCATAGTGATGATTCAGGTTCTGCTGGGGTGTTTATGTTTATATATGATTATTATTCCCCCATAGAGATGATTCAGGTTCTTCTGGGGTGTTTATGTTTATATATGATTATTATTCCCCCATAGTGATGATTCAGGTTCTGCTGGGGTGTTTATGTTTATATATGATTATTATTCCCCATAGAGATGATTCAGGTTCTTCTGGGGTGTTTATGTTTATATATGATTATTATTCCCCATAGTGATGATTCAGGTTCTGCTGGGGTGTTTATGTTTATATATGATTATTATTCCCCATAGAGATGATTCAGGTTCTTCTGGGGTGTTTATGTTTATATATGATTATTATTCCCCAAAGTGATGATTCAGGTTCTTCTGGGGTGTTTATGTTTATATATGATTATTATTCCCCAAAGTGATGATTCAGGTTCTTCTTGGGTGTTTATGTTTATATATGATTATTATTCCCCATAGTGATGATTCAGGTTCTGCTGGGGTGTTTATGTTTATATATGATTATTATTCCCCAAAGTGATGATTCAGGTTCTGCTGGGGTGTTTATGTTTATATATGATTATTATTCCCCAAAGTGATGATTCAGGTTCTTCTGGGGTGTTTATGTTTATATATGATTATTATTCCCCAAAGTGATGATTCAGGTTCTTCTGGGGTGTTTATGTTTATATATGATTATTATTCCCCATAGTGATGATTCAGGTTCTGCTGGGGTGTTTATGTTTATATATGATTATTATTCCCAAAGTGATGATTCAGGTTCTTCTGGGGTGTTTATGTTTATATATGATTATTATTCCCCATAGTGATGATTCAGGTTCTGCTGGGGTGTTTATGTTTATATATATGATTATTATTCCCCAAAGTGATGATTCAGGTTCTGCTGGGGTGTTTATGTTTATATATGATTATTATTCCCCAAAGTGATGATTCAGGTTCTTCTGGGGTGTTTATGTTTATATATGATTATTATTCCCCATAGTGATGATTCAGGTTCTGCTGGGGTGTTTATGTTTATATATGATTATTATTCCCCAAAGTGATTATTCAGGTTCTGCTGGGGTGTTTATGTATATATATGATTATTATTCCCCAAAGTGATGATTCAGGTTCTGCTGGGGTGTTTATGTTTTTATATATGATTATTATTCCCAAAGTGATGATTCAGGTTCTTCTGGGGTGTTTATGTTTATATATGATTATTATTCCCCATAGTGATGATTCAGGTTCTGCTGGGGTGTTTATGTTTATATATGATTATTATTCCCCAAAGTGATGATTCAGGTTCTTCTGGGGTGTTTATGTTTATATATGATTATTATTCCCCATAGTGATGATTCAGGTTCTGCTGGGGTGTTTGTGTTTATATATGATTATTATTCCCCAAAGTGATGATTCAGGTTCTGCTGGGGTGTTTATGTTTATATATGATTATTATTCCCCATAGTGATGATTCAGGTTCTTCTGGGGTGTTTATGTTTATATATGATTATTATTCCCCCATAGTGATGATTCAGGTTCTGCTGGGGTGTTTATGTTTATATATGATTATTATTCCCCAAAGTGATGATTCAGGTTCTTCTGGGGTGTTTATGTTTATATATGATTATTATTCCCCATAGTGATGATTCAGGTTCTGCTGGGGTGTTTATGTTTATATATGATTATTATTCCCCAAAGTGATGATTCAGGTTCTGCTGGGGTGTTTATGTTTATATATGATTATTATTCCCCATAGTGATGATTCAGGTTCTGCTGGGGTGTTTATGTTTATATATGATTATTATTCCCCAAAGTGATGATTCAGGTTCTGCTGGGGTGTTTATGTTTATATATGATTATTATTCCCCAAAGTGATGATTCAGGTTCTGCTGGGGTGTTTATGTTTATATATGATTATTATTCCCCAAAGTGATGATTCAGGTTCTGCTGGGGTGTTTATGTATATATATGATTATTATTCCCCAAAGTGATGATTCAGGTTCTGCTGGGGTGTTGATGTTTATATATGATTATTATTCCCCAAAGTGATGATTCAGGTTCTTCTGGGGTGTTTATGTTTATATATGATTATTATTCCCCATAGTGATGATTCAGGTTCTGCTGGGGTGTTTATGTTTATATATGATTATTATTCCCCAAAGTGATGATTCAGGTTCTTCTGGGGTGTTTATGTTTATATATGATTATTATTCCCCATAGTGATGATTCAGGTTCTGCTGGGGTGTTTATGTTTATATATGATTATTATTCCCCAAAGTGATGATTCAGGTTCTGCTGGGGTGTTTATGTTTATATATGATTATTATTCCCCAAAGTGATGATTCAGGTTCTTCTGGGGTGTTTATGTTTATATATGATTATTATTCCCATAGTGATGATTCAGGTTCTGCTGGGGTGTTTATGTTTATATATGATTATTATTCCCCATAGTGATGATTCAGGTTCTGCTGGGGTGTTTATGTTTATATATGATTATTATTCCCCATAGTGATGATTCAGGTTCTGCTGGGGTGTTTATGTTTATATATGATTATTATTCCCCATAGTGATGATTCAGGTTCTTCTGGGGGGTGTTTATGTTTATATATGATTATTATTCCCCATAGTGATGATTCAGGTTCTTCTGGGGTGTTTATGTTTATATATGATTATTATTCCCCAAAGTGATGATTCAGGTTCTTCTGGGGTGTTTATGTTTATATATGATTATTATTCCCATAGTGATGATTCAGGTTCTGCTGGGGTGTTTATGTTTATATATGATTATTATTCCCCATAGTGATGATTCAGGTTCTGCTGGGGTGTTTATGTTTATATATGATTATTATTCCCCATAGTGATGATTCAGGTTCTTCTGGGGTGTTTATGTTTATATATGATTATTATTCCCCAAAGTGATGATTCAGGTTCTTCTGGGGTGTTTATGTTTAAATATGATTATTATTCCCCATAGTGATGATTCAGGTTCTTCTTGGGTGTTTATGTTTATATATGATTATTATTCCCCATAGTGATGATTCAGGTTCTTCTGGGGTGTTTATGTTCATATATGATTATTATTCCCCATAGTGATGATTCAGGTTCTTCTGGGGTGTTTATGTTTATATATGATTATTATTCCCCATACTGATGATTCAGGTTCTTCTGGGGTGTTTATGTTTATATATGATTATTATTCCCCATAGTGATGATTCAGGTTCTTCTTGGGTGTTTATGTTTATATATTATTATTATTCCCTATAGTGATGATTCAGGTTCTGCTGGGGTGTTTATGTTTATATATGATTATTATTCCCCATAGTGATGATTCAGGTTCTGCTGGGGTGTTTATGTTTATATATGATTATTATTCCCCATAGTGATGATTCAGGTTCTGCTGGGGTGTTTATGTTTATATATGATTATTATTCCCCAAAGTGATGATTCAGGTTCTTCTGGGGTGTTTATGTTTATATATGATTATTATTCCCTATAGTGATGATTCAGGTTCTTCTGGGGTGTTTATGCTTATATATGATTATTATTCCCCATAGTGATGATTCAGGTTGTTCTGGGGTGTTTATGTTTATATATGATTATTATTCTCCATAGCGATGATACAGGTTGTTCTGGGGTGTTTATGTTTATATATGATTATTATTCCCCATAGTGATGATACAGGTTGTTCTGGGGTGTTTATGTTTATATATGATTATTATTCTCCATAGTGATGATACAGGTTGTTCTGGGGTAGACTGTCCGACCCGTCACAGACGCTTACAAAGGCATGTAAATTGTTCCACTTCTGACAAAATAGAAAAGGACAGACGCATCAGACATCACGTTTGGTCACTGGTGGGTCAAATGTGGAAATTCTTGCAAAGGGCTTGAAAGTTGTAACATTGATCAAACCCCTTTTTGAGCAAAGTCGTTTCATAACGCGACTACCCCATAGGCTTGCCATTGCAAACACTACGTTCGTCACAGAGGGGCCATTAGAGAAGAAGGGTAACAACAAGGGAGGAGAAACAGAACCCTGGCGGACACCTGGCAACCGACAGCCCCTAATGTTTAAATCAAGTACAGTTCAAAAGCTGTTTGCCTTCCCGATCAAATACATAAGGAGGTACTCACGCAGGGTAGGAGAATGGGTTGAGGGATTTATCGGTAGATATGACAGTCCACTTGTTTCGAGACACCTTAGTATCGGTGCTGTTACATTGAATGCAGCATGCATCACGTTGACTGTATCCTGAAATCATAAAGAGACAAAATGATTTAGGTATTACGCCGTATGCATTGATAAGGTATTCTGCCATATTGACCATGAAATTATAAAAAAAACGCCATTGATACAGTAGTTTGGCAAATAAAATAGATGCTCAAGGGACCCTGGCTTTATAATTATGTATAACATCAGAAACGGTTTAATGAAACTATTTTCAATGTAAAGGGAAAATAACGTGAACGGTGGGCAGGCACATGTCATCGTATTCCAGTTGTGCAGATCCAGTGCAACTTGGCTGACACATGTCATCGTATCCCAGTTGCGTAGAACGATGCTCATGATGTTGATCACTGGATTGTCTGGACCAGACTCGATTATTTACAGACCGCCGCCATATAGCTGGAATATTGTTAAGTGCGGCCTTAAACAACCAACCAACCTTATATGCATATATCTGTCATATTTACGGTACAGCGTACCTTCTCTCTTCTGTTCACACAGTAATTCCCGTGTTTTGTCGTGACACCGTGTCATTATTCTCAGGGTTAATGGTTAACTCTCCATTAGTGTAAAACATGTGACAGGACACTATAGACACATTATACCTAGTACCGATTTAACCACTAGTATCTAATTTGCGTAGTTTCACACCCGGAAACGATTGGTAGCGATGTGCATGGTTGTTTTTTCCCCTCCCGAAGTTAATTGACTTTGTGTAGACTAAATTAAAACAAAACCCACTTTGGTCCGTGCTTGTGTCCTCCTTGAAAAAGATATGTCACATGTGATGAGCGAGCGCTTTACTGTCTGACCACCCTACACTTCTTAAAAAATTATGCTGACATCAATTTGGTTGGATTGTTGTTTGGATTGTTGTTTAACGCCGCACCTGACATCAAGTATTGAAAGTAGACTTTCTGACAATCTAAAACAATACAATAACACTTGCCCTTTTCTTTCCAATATGTTTGTGATGATTCATCAGTATTATCAATATCCCAGTTGTAAAACGGTCTGTATATAATGGAGTCCGATGGTTAACAGCTGTTGTAGTGACGACACAGTCTAGTCACACGCAGCACCCGATCACCATGCAAGTCAGCCATTATGACAAGAACAACGGCCTGGGGATCTATTCTGAGCTAAAATCCACACGCTGTCTCTTCCATTATGTGACCCGTGAAGATCCGGGTTAGAATTGATCTTAACCCATGCTTGTTGTAAGGAGCGACTAACGGGATCGCGTGGCCAGCCTTGCTGACTTAGTTGACACATGCCATCATATCTCAATTGCGTAAATCGATGCTTATGCTGTTAATCACTGGATTGTCTGGTCCAGACTCGATTATTTACAGAATAGCTGGAATATTGCTGAGTGCGGCGTAAAACTAAACTCACTCACTTCGATTATGTGTGTGACATGATGAACACGGGATGAGATCTGCATCATATATCAAATATCCTAATATAGAAACCACAGCAGATGACGGGGTACTTATCCTTAGTCTATCTCACAGTCCCTAAACAGCCCCTAAACAACATTACTTTCTCTTCCACCCTGCTTGGTGGTGGGGTAGCCTAGTGGTTAAAGCGTTGGCTCGTCACGCCGAAGACCCGGGTTCGAATCCCCACATGGGTACAATGAGTGAAGCCCATTTCTGGTGTCCCCCGCTGTGATATTGCTGGAATATTGCTTGAAGCGTCGTAAAACCAAACTCAGTCAGCCAGTCAGTCTTCCGCCCTGCCCTTCCTCAGATGCTTAACCCAAACTGAAGCAAGTCTAGAGTTCCTCAGTTTCTGAATCTCCCATCTCACTCCTTTTCACTTTAAAAGCAATTATTTGTTTCTGACAAAATTATATATATATTCAGAGACTAAGCGTTAGTCTATACTGATCCTGTGACGATGCCATCAGTCATCGTCTAATTAACTGCATCATATAATCGTTAATCCCTGTGTGTTGTATATACCGGTTTAATATCACTAAATAAGGTGTCCTCCCATTACGCAGACAGCCAGTTCGCAGACACCTTAAAACAACAACATTTACGGTTCAGTGAACAGATTATCTACTACCTGATACGTACAAATTATAATGGAATAGTCCGAATAAAACACAGGAACAAACTGAAGCTATATTATTTATTTTGAGAGATTGACGAAAAGACAGTAATTTGAATTTTTATTGCTGCAATATAAAACAGTTTTTATAAACATTTCGGTTTAACCTTCTAGTCTAACGGGAGTCGGCATCATCATATTGAAAACATTAGCTTAGCTATTTGAAATTGCGACACTGTTCTATCATATAAATCAAATAAAGACAAATGTGAACCTAAATATTCATATGGAATAAAGAAGTTATATGTTTTGCACATAATAATATTAAGATATATATATATATATATATATATACATATATATATATACATACACACACACACACACATATATACAATGTATATATATATGAGACGAGTGCACTTAATAACGATTTATTTAGAATAAACATTTAAAATATGACGAATCATGTCAATGTGGCCATGGATGTGAGAATGTTTTTCAATTACTTACTTGAATGTCCATTGTATACTACTCAATGACATAAACCGTTACAATCTTTAGAAAGTATTGTTAAAATTAGAACACTGATTGGTATTAATTGTATCTTACATGGCAATGCAGGTGTCTCATTTACTGCAAATCAGAATGATTGTAAATATGTACATATCTATATATCTCCAACAAAACGTTTTCTCAGTTAACTTGTGTTGTACATATGCTATTATTGGGAGGGGTCTTTTCTATCAATAAACACAATCATACCTCTCAGTGACAAACCTGTTTTATATTCGATAGTAATTGATAGTAAAATCAATTTTGAGAAGAGCAATCATTTATCATTTAATCACATCAAAGTTCTATTTACAATCAAACTTCTCAGTAACGAACCTGTTTCAGGCTCACCCTGCTCTACTCACCAGACAGTGGACTATTCCATTATACCCGTAGGTGTTACCCTAATTAACCTTCTAGCTCAGTGTCTGTCAGTTGGGTGTCTGTCAAATGGGTGTCTGTCAATTGGGAGATAACCCTAAATAAGAAGCTGTTTATCCAGTGTATCTGTCTTCAAGTGATTACCCTTCATGAACTGTACTTATGTCGTTAAGTATTTATAAAGTTTAATAACTTCTCCCACCTAACTTCTCAATTCCTAATTTTACTATAACACAACTAACATAAACTACACAGGCTAATGTAATAGCTATATGATTTTCTGGATAATGGAGGATGGTTGGGCATTTCTCCGGCCAACACAAAGCCGGTATATATTGACAAAATAAATCTTAAAACTTCACAAACTGACAATAATCTCAGGATTCAAAGATATTGCGTATATGTGCACCATCATTCGACTTCACAGACTGACCGACAGTAGTTTATTTACGTCACACTTCTGTACGTACGAATGCTATTTACAAACATTCAATAGAGTAAAATGTACACAGCCATTCAAAAGAGAATTATGAGAGACAATAATCATGATAAAACATAAAAGTTATCAAAACATTAAGTTAAGCACTAGAGGCACGGGGATGTGCGGTCACCTAACGCACCTCTCCAACGCATAGGCGTGTTCACAGGTTTGAAACCATTTTACTAATGTCGGAAACGGCAAGTGACCCTTCACCGCTGATGGCCCCAAACTGTTACTATATAGGCGTTACCAATAGCCCTGAAAAGTGTTACTGTGTTACCCCCCCAACATTGAGCTGACTCGACAGCCATTCTCGACATACGGAGCACAGCGCATGCCCTGTCACCGATCCCCTTTAAGTGAAAAACGTGACAGTCACAATGACTGTACTATATACAGTCCTTTTAAACCCGGCGAGGTCAAATATTTGCTTTAAAGTCAAGCAGTGTCGTTACTGTCAGCTCGCCTGGAAGACACATACGTGTTTCTTTTACGTTACATGAAGGCTAGCCTTAAAAGGTCTACGTCACGAACAATTCTGATTACATTTATTTATTTATTCATTTATTCATTTATTCATTTATTTATTTATTTATTTAACGTACATATAGAAAATACACTTCATAATAGTTATGGATTATAATTTGATATAACTATTGATCCTGTCAACTTCGAATTTGACTTTCCTCTGTGTAACATTCGTGGTCTTCCAAATATATGAAGTTATCTGTGGTGTGGTAGTATTTTATCAAATGTGTGAGATATCTGAATTCAAAGTTGTACTTTGCAATTGCAAACAAAGTATTTCGAAACTTGCTTTACTTGGGTTCTCAAGTATGAATGACGTTTGACATAGTTCTAACAGCGTTGTTTTATAAGAAACCTAAGTGTCAATGTAAATTTGTGGTTTGGCATGAGAAGAATGAGTCGCCATACATTCATATTTCACTCTCAGTATTAAATTACATTAATATATGTATGTTTGAAATAAATATACCATCATCCATCACACGATTGTATCAGACAGTCTCGGAATCTGTGTAGAGTCGTATTGTCTACGGATGACAATTTCACGGTCAGTGCGTTCAGGATGTTATCAAGCATATAATATGAGTCAACACATACCACCTCTTGAAGGCATTATGCGTCAGCAGTTGTCGCGTTGCTATATGGTACATGAACAAAGCTAAAATATAGATATAGGAGGACACTTCAAATTCATTTTGATGCATCAGTGACATTTCAAAATAGTGACAAAAATAATACCATTCCCTACCTAAAACATACGTTCCCAATTTTTACCAGGTGAACAACTGACTTTGCCTTTGCATATGTTTATGACAGGGCAGGATACGCTCACCTTTTCGTGAACACCATGAATCATCACTTTTTGATAGTGATTCATAAACACATGTGTGTTCTGTGAGGTGTTCTGTCGTCCCACCACATGTAATATTGCAGAGTGAGTGAGTGAGTTTAGTTTTACGCCGCACTCAGCAATATTCCAGCTATATGGCGGCGGTCTGTAAATAATCGAGTCTGGACCAGACAATCCAGTGATCAACAGCATGAGCATCGATCTGCGCAATTGGGAACCGATGACATGTGTCAACCAAGTCAGCGAGCCTGACCACCCGATCCCGTTAGTCGCTTCTTACGACAAGCATAGTCGCCTTTTGTGGCAAGCATGGGTTGCTGAAGACCTATTCTACCCCGGATCTTCACGGGTCTATTGCAGAAAGAGACGTTAAACAAACAAATAAACAAACAAACACAAGCTCATAATATAGTTGTAATTGTACAATGGACTCTGCTTTCAGCACAGATTTCATATTTAGGTGGAAAATGTTTAGTAACTTTAATTATCTTGTGTCTTCTTTGAAGCGCATAACTAAGTCCTATGGGACATGCATATGGTGTTCAGATCGATTCATGGATAATGGTTAAGAATATATTTTTAAATTAAAATGTAAACAAAATCAACTTGTAAATACTGTCAGAAATGTTTTTGTTACACAGGTGATTTCAGTTACATGTGTTATCATTCCCACCAGAAATACACATCAGTTTGCACGGGGTAAGAATGAGACGTGGCTTCGATGTTTCCCCAGTACGAAATAAAAGCTACCCCGGACTGTCGTGATTTGACGTATATGTTCCAGTACATGCCAGGTCCTCAGTGGGGATGTGACATAATATGGTAAGACACTGAAATATCCAAAAGAAGGAAAACTCGTTAACTGTGACGCCGTGTAAACAAGAAAACATATAATTTGTTTTTCTCAAAAAAAAAACCCAACATATTATTTGTTTTCAAAGACTGTCTATATCAAACCACACAATCGCTAGAGTTGCAGATGTACATTAGTACATATGATACATACTGGTAATGGGGTTCAAGGTATATGCAGGTAGAGGAGTTAAAGGTATATGCAGGCAGTGGAGTTAAAGGTATATCCAATTATTCAAGTTCAAGAAAAATACAAGTAATGGTTCTCAAGGTATATACAGGTAAAGAGGTTCAAGGTATGTGCGGGAAATGAAGCTCAAGGAATATACAAGTAATAAAATTCAAGTTAAATGGGTTTCGCTTTAGTTTCTATAAATTAAACAAAACTGAAAACGATAAGCCTTGGATCAGTTGCAATCAAAATGTTTTAATCGATATGAATACGTTCCATTCTAATAATGTCAAATCGGTTTTAATACTTTATTGCTTCAAACAATGAATGGCTTCTTCAACATAGTTTTGTTTGCATGTATCGGGTATTTTTACGAATACCAAAGCTATTTACCCATTCCATTAAACACAGGTAAATAGTGTCATGTTTAAAAGGTGGTTTACATTATCAATACTACGAACAACGTCACACTACGTCAAAGAGAGAATAATGATAAGATAAACGTATGATTGCATGTCGCATTATAGTAAGAGCATTTGAACACACTGGAGTTGTATGTCACGTACACAGGTGTCACACAGGTGTCACGGACGTGATTTACAAACATGCCGGAGAGTCAACGAGTAAGTCGTTACATGATAACTATGTCATGAGTTTTGTAATTAATGTAAGTTCCCCATTACTTATGACGCTGAAAGCAGAAACACGCCAACTCACGGGGCCCAAGTTCGGAATACAAAGTGTCTGAACAATCAAGGTTAAGAATGACAAGGTTAAAATGAACTTGACATATTACAATCGGGGTCAAGTTAGGGACACACAACATTCAGCTCCTGAAATTCAGGGACCTGGAGGTTCCATAAACTCGAGGATTTCATCTAGAAATTAATTTGATTTAACGCACGTGCTTATATCATTTTTCGCATATGTTTTTCGCTGACGATAATGTGATATTCTGTTTAGTGGAACAGGTGCATAATCTTTTGAGCGAAAACAAATATTATAACCTCTTGCTGTGTCAAGACACATGATACGCATAGCTACAGGACCGCCGCCATGTAACTGGAATAATTTTGCTGGGTGCGGTGTTAAACAAACAATATCATTTAATACAGGCTAACTTCCTTGTACGCTTGACTAAAAACTAACATCCTTATGCTAACAACTACCTACTAGCATCCTTACATACCAGCATCATGTTATATACACACAGACATGCATGTGCACACACACATACACACATACATACAGACATACATACTTATATATAACCACTAACATACATACTATTACAACTTGATACTAACACCATTTTACATATGCCTAAATACAAAATTCCTTTCATATAACTACATAAAGTATAAAGTAATTTCCTTTTACACATAATTGCATACTAACTTCTTATACATTTAATAACATACAATGATACTTTTACAAATAATTATGGACTAAATCATAGTACATAATTTAGTACATAATTTTACAGAATACTACAAACCAAGTTCCTTTTACATGTAAAGAAGTACTAAATTCCATTTACATATAAGTACATAATAAATTCCTTTTATATAAAACTACAAACTAAATTTATTTTACCCGTAGGGCGTTCTAGATTCCATTTACCGGTATATATAAGTACATACAAAATTCCTTTTACATACCACTACATCCTAAGTTTCTTATGTAAAAGTTTGACAACTGGTCTAATAAACACCATATTGATAATCCCGTTTGATACAGTTATACATAAGCGTAATACGATTCATAGGCACCGCCAGGGTCCTTATGCCCTCGAGCATAAACTTGGGGGTAGTACGGTCTTCACCTGGGTCATGCATTTATCCAACCAGGCCCACGTCGTTTTCACATGTAGGGGTCCATGTGACCTGTATCTTTTCACATTCATCTGACGCTCTGCGCCGATCAAATAAGATTTAAATTATGACCTACGCAAGTGGCTGGCGATGTGTGTAAACACACCGATCAAATGAAAGACAAACGTTTTGGCTAACACAAAGCACTATGCTGGGAGTTAGACCTTGGCTGTAAGCTAATGTTACACCACTACCTTAAGGCGGTGTCCCTTGGTGTTATCAAAAGGAATGTTTTGGTGTATTGTCGGGAATGGAGATGTCTGGAGACAACTTACTTTGAGCGTCGGAAAAAGAAATTATCACATTTAAACTCATGAACCTGATCTTTGGCTACAGCGGTCTAAACCGTCCATATCGCCATAGAAACGAAATAATAGGGTGTAAGTGTTTATTTTGTTTACAATAATAATGATACAGGTGAGTGTCACATTTCCGACATGAATGTCAAGGTCATGCCCGATAATCCGGTTATTGTGATACAGTAGCAATCCACAATGATAGGTAGAAAAATAAATATAACAATTACCTTTAAATGACCTCAGTTTAGTTTGTCGTTTCTGTACCATATCAGATATAATACACAGATTATCTGTGATATAATCTCATCAGCCACAGCTCAATGAAGTACAACACCTCGTGGCTCGTTGAACACAATATAGTAAGCAGTTATAACTTACCTTGATTAATAACTATGTAGATACAAGCCAGGTGTAACAACCAGGTGATAGCTTCTGACATGGTTACGCTGTGTCAATCTTATACAGCTCGGAGACACTCCGTCTTTTGAGTATAAACTGTGTAGCCCATCGGTAATCCAGGTAAAACCAGGTATTGCTTGTTTGTGCGTCACTACTTGCTTTTCACCTGTACTCCACGCAAGACAACACGCCGATAATCCCTCTCGTATCGACCTTTAGTCAGTATTTTTCACGTTTTCGTTGAAAATAAATCTAGAGCTCTTACTCCGCGATGGTGGACAACATTTTAGAGACCCACAAATGGCGAGTCTCTCTTCAACTTTGTAGCACCTGGCGTTTGTCAACCGTATGTATATCTATAAATAGACCGGGACGCGACATGTCCCCCGCTATAACGCCCTTAGGAATGAACACGAGACATTGTTACCAAACTGGTTTGTTACCAGCTGGTTACCCTAATTATGTTATTGCAAATCGAAGCGCAAGAAATATTACATAACATATGCTGACGGCGAGATCGCCCAAAGCTGTTAAACGCGTTATAGTGAAACTTTAGGAATATCGATTTAATGGGATTGGTCTGTGATCGAAACGAAACGAAGAACATATTAAATAACCGGTACGGCAATATTTACTATGCGATTCAGTAGCTTCACTACTGCGATAAGGATGAAGGGGCAATATAATAACCACGTTGCATCAAATATAATACTCTGGGACAAGGACCCGTGAAGATCCGGGATAGAATAGGTCTTCAGCAACCCATGCTTGCCACAAAAGGCTACTATGCTTGTCGTAAAAGGCGACTGACGGGATCGGGTGGTCAGGCTCGTTGACTTGGTTGACACATGTCATCGGTTCCCAAATGCGCAGAACGATGCTCATGCTGTTGATCACTGCATTGTCTGGTCCAGACTCGATTATTTACAGACCGCCGCCATATAGCTGGAATATTGCTGAGTGCGGCGTAAAACTAAACTCACTCACTCTGGGACAAGAATGACAAATAATCCGTCTCATGAAAACCAGGACCTATTGTAATATGATGAAATTTTTCGCATTTTCTTCCTTATGTAAAAAATAAATAATTAACATAATCAAGGTATAACATTTCTATGCTAGATGAATAAAGACACAGAATAATTTCATACGCGGATTTTGAAAATTTATTTCCTTCGGTGAATAAATGCCTGCATTCTTACTCACTTTCCCCTCAAATAGTCAGTGGAGACATACGTGATTCTATTTAATATCTATTCCTTTTATTGAGTGGTATTGGGTAACAGGCCACTAAAAATATTTCTCCTCAATATTAGAGAAGAAACATTGAAATTTAACCAAACAACATCTATGCATATTCTGTCAAATAGACACGCAAAATCAGACTTTAAATATAAATCTAATTTTTCTTGAAAATAAGCTCTCAAACTATTCAGTCGTTAGACGGGCGTTTTGCGACAAGGTGTTTGCATGTACACATACCGGTTGTCATCACAACCAATTAGATCGTTGTCATGGTTACCACAATATAATTGTTCAGTCTATCGGAATTACTACTAATACACTCTGCGTTTTAGGGGATAGGTTTTTTTTAAGCATGGTATGTAGTAATGACAGCGGACAGTTCACAATATCTGTTGCTGATGGTCTGCCGATTCCTGTCGACCTAAGATGGACTCACCATGGAAGCTGATCGATTGTAATTGGGCGTTGTCACTTGGCCTATGAGTGGTGATCTTTCTTTATACTAATGGCAGCAGGGCGCGTTTTATTCATTTAACCGGGTATATTTAACATTCTTTTTATAGCATTACCTAATTTGTAAAATATCTTATAGGATTTTAGTTTACAGCCAGTCAAGTTCCAAGAAAAATGATCCTGGACAAGGTACCTGAAACATCCTTTGCATAAATTTCATAATAAATTGTAATTCTGATTACATGCGAAATTCTCCATCGTTGTTATTACAATAGGCATTACAATTTGGGTACGCTTAAAACACATCGGCGTCTTGTACTGGCGCGAGCTAAAATTAGCCATTACTATCTTTTACGGGAGCTTCTATTAATACCATCGCCCTGTAATGTACGGAAATACCCGAACTTCTCCGGAATTTGTCGTAGTTAACTTTCGCATGGACGACTGAACCAGATTTGTTTACGTTAACGTTTGATTACTTTTAGGTGGATCAGTCAACAATGTGCCAAAGGACGCGATATAATTATGTGCTTATATCTTATTCTTTGTCATTGAAAGGGGGTCAAGGAGAAAAGATGATGAAGAGAAGAAATATATATCAACATGATATCTTTTGGAATAAAACTTAAAATACTTTCTTCTATGATTAATTGTTATTCATCAATGGTAAGTCGTAATCTTAATACTTTATCTAAATGAATGTTTGGTTGGTCCGATTCAAATGTTAATCTCCATGCATTTAAGTCAGAATTGTAACGCAAAATGGCTAATTAAGGAGGTGCTAGAGTGTACGGATCAACTTCACAGAATTAATATTTTAGGACATTAATTCACCCCGAACAGATAAAACTGTTTATTTTCTGTATCAAACAATATTAATTTTCACTGAAAAAATATCACGTTGCATGTCACAAAATATATGTTTGAAGATCATCGGCTAGAAATAGACATGAAAGCATCTGAACTGTTCCAGTAATTGTGACATACAAACTATTGTGACCTCATGAATAGTGGGTGAGGTCATTGTGATGTCATGAAAAAGATTTGGAGGCGCATTTACTTCTGCGTCTGGGTAAAAGAAACTCCTTAACCGGTTCTCCAATTTAACTTTGGCTGGCCATGATTAAAACAGACAATCACTTTTGGAGGACCAGGAGATAAAAAAACAAAAACGAGCACTTTGGGAAGGTTATATATTATTGAAATAGACATGCTTTGGGGGCGGTCGCATGTATACCAACGAGGAGTGTCATACATATGAAGTGTTTATAGACATGCGTTGTACCTAATCTTCAACCAGGATTAACTTTAGAACCCTGAATTAAGATTAACGGTGATTATTGTATTAGGGTTGTATGCCACTTCACTGACCACAGAGGACAAAAGGATAGTAAATATAGTTTATTGGTAATATTCGAATAGAAAAATATTTCATTCAAATACTTTAAGTATTACATTGTCAGTTTTTGGACATTCGACGTCTCTAATAACGTATTGTATTAAGACATATATTTAAAACTATATATGATTTATTTTATATAGCGGAACATAGATTCGAGAAATAACATAAAATCAGTTCAGCGAGCACTGTGATATTTAATTAATGTAAATTATCTGTATATGTAATTACAACAACCGAAAAAGCTCTTGCATCCAACCCGACCGACCCCATCTCGCTGCACCCTAAATACGAAATGCTCCCTTGGACACGTCGAAACAATCTCCTCAATACACCGTGGGAAACTGCCGACACTCTGGTGAGTTTTCCGCATTTGTTTCGTTTCCGGGCTTTTAGGGATCTGTTCAGTTTTGTACAAGCTACATGTTGACTACCACATCGATTATGAATGGATGCTGAAAGGGTTCGACGCAGAATCAGCGCAAACCCGTAGTTTGATAATGTTCTTTCAACATGCAACAAGCACTAGAAACCCTTTTGACCCTCTGCAGCGAGTTGGGGGCGGTGACTGGGTGTATTTCCGCATTGAAAGGCTCTGGCTTTTGTCGTGTTCAGCGAGCGTGTGTGCGATACCTTCTGTCTCGGTATAGTTGGTTTTAGTCTTTCTCTCACACATAGACTGATTGAATTTGCAATTATTGGCATATTTACTATATTTGGGGATTCGTTTTCATGTCTGTTACTAATTTATTCCGCCAGGAGTCGCTCTGGCTGGGCCCCTAGGGGTGGCAATATGGCGATGTGAGTGAAGATGCGATGTGCTTATTAAATTGCAGTGGGGCCTGTTTTGTCAACTTTCAAGCTAAATTGTGTCACATAGAATGTTCTTATTGTTCCCTAATCCGGTACGAATACACTGCTTCACCCTGATTGTATTGACTGTTTGCACAAGGGGCTTCGAGGGATTAAGGGAGCAGTCATTATTTCGTATAACCAACAGGTGCTCGTCTGCTTGGCTCTTCATTGCTTAGGAATGCTGTTTGCTATAATCAATTTGTCCAGAATCTAGGCAGACAGCTCTTCACATTTTGACTCTTGTTTTAAGTGTTCACGTTTTATGTTTACTTAATATATGAATTATCTATGATATTAATAATAACATTGATAATAATAATTATCATCAATACCATTACCACCTTTAAAAGGTCACATGCAACGTAAAACACAACTTTGCAGATTCTGATACCTTTCGGGGTGGACTTACCGAAACAAATCATCAAAAATGCAAATTCAACTTATAAAGTTAAAAATAACGCGATGAAAAAAATGAAAATCAGAGTAAAAACAATTCACTAATTTTCCCCCAGCGCTTGTTTTGTTGATATTTCACAGGCGCGAGCTTTTTATATGTTATGACAGTAGATTACCGATTTAACTGTTTATGTAATTTCATTTGTCTATTTTACCACATGTTCTTCTTACCGAGTAACTTTCTCAGTTCGATACTTAAAAGCAATGTCGTTATTTAGCGTTGACAGAATTTCTAACTGTGATATAGATATGTCGTTGTCACAGACAAAACTCAATGTCTATTTTATTGACACCTATGTGTCTGCCCGCCTGTCTGCAAATGACAATATTCAATACACAATTTCAATCACTGACCACATGCAATTTGAACTTAACACCTATCAGGCTATACACCATAAACAAAATGCATTGATTTATGGCCCGAGTTCAGTCTCAGTCACATTATGTAATTACACAGACAGGCAGGTGTGATACTTGTACACATGACATGTTATGATGTCGGTTGATTGCAAAATACACAAAAAATGAGCATGTATTTACAAAACCCAACATCTCTATATACGGTGTATATACACACACAATGAGGGCATCTGCAAATGAACCAGCCGTTACACTTGAGTGCACACCAACCCGCTCTGACTGGGTTCGGTATCCCGGCTGCTTCGTTTCTAGGGAAGTAAACCCAAGTACTAAATATTGCACTTTTGATTTGCGATTGTCCGCTTATAATTTTGTTTATATGTTTTTTCATAATCAGCAATGCATTTCATATTTCATGAATAAGTGATAATTGTGTTTTAATTATGTTTGATTTTTTGGTTGCATGTGACCTTTAACATGTATAAACTCATGACAGCTGGATCTGGGTTAACAAGGAAAGATACAAGATACAAGAGAGATTACATGTTTGTTATCACTGAGGCTTAGCATCAGAGAAGATGAGGACAAACTAATTGCTATACAGACTTTACTGCTTTATTGACTTTGATCTTTACACCTAATTAGTGTACATGTATTTGCATATTAGAATGATAAAAGCAATGTGTACATCAACAACAGTAGATACAGAGTGATGTACACAAAGATAATATTTAGCTTCTAACAGACATGTTGTATGGATATAATGTCATAACTTACACAATTGTTTTACATTCTGTGTTATAAATATCTGAATTAAGTTAAAAACTGTTGACTTACTTCAATAATATGGATTAATTACAGAACTCTAAGATGATAATACACAGGGCAAATAAATATGAAATGAAACTCGTCTTCAACATTATCTATGCCATGGTTATACCCAGGAACTAAGTTCCAGTTATTTATACCTTCCAGTTTCAATAGCTAACTTATGTGATGATAGTCTAAATTTAGGGATACATGTTTTCTCAGTAATACTGGTATTGTTTTCCCTAAGTGATATTGTAAACTAAAAGAATTTAGCTCTACATACGTTTTTCACTTAGATGAGTCAGAGTGTTGACTGCTATCATATTGTATGTATAATAAGGACCACATTTGGAAATATAAATGATACATATCGAACCAATAATTTTAATGTTCTGTCTTATTTAATTTTCTTCAACTGAAAATTTATTTTGAAAAGCAGATCTGCCTGTGTGTTTTCTGCAGGCTAAAGTCAGGTGTAGGATGTCACTATATTTCGGGAATTTTATATATTATGTACTTTGTACAGCAAGCAATGGTTTAGACATAATAAACCATGATTAAGGGAATTAACTGATTGTTTAAGTTTTTAAAATGTGATACTCTTAACAGGGAAGCAAAATTTTGTGCAAAGCTAAGATAAGATCTGTGGGTAAAATGCGCATGTAAAATTCACTGTTTACCAGTTAAATTTGAGTTGCATGCACTACACCTTGCCCATTGTAAGTTATCATTGTTGTGAGCTTAATAAGAGCTATAAATATAAATGTCAAATGAGATAACTTGTCTGTAAGTAACATCCTCATAGCTTAATAAAGTATCTTCAGCACTGATGTGTGAAGCTATTGAGCTGGAGGCAGGCAGATGCTTGTGCATACAATACAGATCTGTGCTGATAATGTGGTGATACCTTGACTTCATTTCAGTGTTGATTGTGTTGTTTAAGTTTGTATTATCATGGTAAGTAGTTTCAGAATTGTTGACGTACAAGTGTTTGTCTTTGTTTGAGTGGCATTCTAGAAGTTGGTGGTACAGAGATGACTAGACTTTATGGTTGATCAGCTTCTTTATTCTCAACATGAAGAAGTTGATCATCCATAAAGTCTTGCCATCTCAAGTATTTGTCAGCATTCATCCCTAATTCAGCACAAATGTCACTGGTATCAAAAGTGTCCCAATTTATAATATATACACAGTAAACTACGTAAATAATAAACTCGCTTATAATGAACTGATGGATAACATTAACAAACTGTTTTTGTTTTTTCAGGCCACTTGTTTCATATTATAGTCAAAGTGCATGTTAGTGAGTGAGTGAGTTTTAGTTTTATGCCACTTTTACCAATATTCCAGTGGTATGTTGTGGACACCAGAAATGGGCTTCACACATTGTATCCATTTGGGATCGAACCCAGGCCTGACGAGCAAACACTTTAACTACTAGGCTACCCCACCACCCCTCAAAGTGTGTGTAACCAACTATGGTCACAATGAACTAAACTTAGTGGTCCCTTTAAGTTTGTTATAACTGTCGTATACTGTAGGTATATATTGTAACAAATAGCTATATTTAACCTGTATTTCACTGATAGCAAGATGAATAAACAGGAAGGGATTGTAATCCATATTTATATTATCTTGTTAAAATTGAATGTAATCTCTTACATGGTAAAAATAGGCCAATCTCTGAATATAAGAAAATATGAACTGTAACGAATCCCAATTTTGAACAAAAAGCGACTTTTTCCAAATTGGCCTGCCTTGGTTAATTATAATTTAGAATCGTGGAAAACACCTGGTGTGGTACAAGACAACAGACATTTAATAGGAGGGTTTACCAATGGCCTGGTGGTGTACATAGTGGCAACAGTGTTACTCTCATGTGCGAATCTGTTGCTCGTGGGAAACTTCCCAGATTTACTGTGTTGATGTCATTCCGTGGCTCTGGATTTGTGACTGACTGAGTTTTGGTTTTACGACGCTTTTAGCAATATTCCAGCTACATCACGGCGGGGGACACCAGAAATGGGCTTCACACATTGTACCCATGTGGGGATTCGAACCCAGGTCTTTGGCGTGACGAGCCAATGCTTTAACCATTAGGCTACCCCACCGCCCCCTCTGGATTTGTGAACATGTACATCCCTTGTCACATGAGGTTTTCCCTGCGTTGTTTTAAGTGAAATACGGTTCCAGGTCGAGTAATACCATATTCAATCACAAAAGTATTTTCATACATTTCTTTTGTTTTTAGTAAACATGGAACAAAGGCGTTGGTGATGATGACTTTTCCAACTGGCTATACCTGGGACCTGACCTCTGACCTGTAACCCCAGGATGCGACCCAAAGGCAGCACTAAAAATGCAGTGCAGGTCATCACACGCTACATGTGTCGATTCTGTGGCCGGCAGTTTCAGAACCTCCAAGAGATGCAGACTCACACACAAGTGCACTTCAGCGCGAGAAGCCTCCACACGCTTGCTACGTGTGTGGCCGCACGTACCGCACACCATCCAAGCTACAACGACACGTGCGGGTACACAGTGGGGAGCGCCCATATGCCTGCTCCATCTGTGGTAAAAGGTTCACACGATCAGATCATGTGAAACAGCATCTGAAAGTGCATATGCCACAGCGGCAGAAAAACGTGTGCCGTTTGTGTGGGATGAGGTTCATGAGGAGACAGACTCTTCAGGCTCATCTACGAAAAGCCATGGGATTGTTCAGGTGGGTAAACATGCTTTTGTTTATTTAATTTGTCATTTAATGCCACACTCGGCAAGTTTCCAGCTATTTGATTGTGGTCTGTAAATAATTGAGTCTAGGCCAGACAATTCAGTGATTGACATCATGAGCATTGAAGTACGCAATTGGGATACAGTGACATATCAACCAAGACAGGGAACCTCACCACCCAATCCCATTAGTTGACTCTTTCAACAAGCATGGGTTACTGAAGACAAATTCTAATCTGAATATTCACAGACCGTGTAGGCATGTAAATGTTATGATTTTTTTGTGTCTGTTAATGTTACACTACCCTAATGTTTTGTCAGTCTGTGAAACGTTCCTGGTAGTATTATGCCCTGCTTGTCATCAGGAGCTTTCCTATGAAGAACTTTTGGTTACAGTATGATGCATCAAGGTTTGATGCAAGGATCATATAATTATTTGATGATACGTTACATTCAGTCTGCAACTTTAACTCCTAGTCCAAAGCCCAAATGTATTAGAGGTTATTTTGGTCTAGCTTCAAGGAATGATTCATGGAACAGAGATGCCAACTCATACGATTTTATCGTAATCGTTACGAAAAAACAACACAAAATACGCGACTACGATAGTAGTAAAAATATACGATTTTAAAAAAAAATACATTAAATTATCAATAGCATATGTACAATACACAATAAATTGCAACCACATTTTAGTCAGCATTAAGTAATATATGGATACTTACTACTGATTTAGGTGAGTACAATGTTAATAACAAGTTCTTAGAATATCTATATATTCTGTATTAAATATGACAATTCTTTGGAAAGGTTAATACTAATTTTTGCCAAAAATACTAGTTTTTGCATCATTTTTTGGCCAAAATACTAATTGGGCTGAATTAGGGTTGGCATCTCTGATGGAAGCAAGTTACCCTGAAATATTTTCTGACCTGAATAGCAATAACAAATAGATCCTCAATTACCAATCCTCAGGATACCTTTTACTTGCTCTATTGCCAGTGTGCATATCTGTTAGTGTCCAGACTGCAGTGTAAAACAAGAGTGACTAACACAGTTTTGTCTGTCCAGGTTTTCTCTTGTAACCGATGTGGGGAAGCATTTGAATCAGCGCTGCAGCTACACCACCACAAGGAGACACATAGCAACATCTTCTACGGACACAGCAGTGACGGCCTTGATGCAGAGGGGGGATTACCGATAAGCATCAAACGAGAGCCAGGAGGAGAGGGGGGAGAGGCAGAGGAGAATAGACCCATTCTTGGACTTGCCAAATTTGGCCTTGGACCTCAACCAGATGTCAAAGAAGGCCTGGATGGACAAGTGAGGGAGGAGAGCAACAATCCTGCAGTTATGGCCAAACAAGCTCTTGACATGGCCTTGAAGGCGCAGGAAGAACCAGAATACTCAGAGGAAAAACCTAGTCAGGTTAATGGACACTTAGGGGGAAGATGATGATATCAAGTCGATTGTTATTGACAATGACATTGCGGAACAGGATGATGAAGATGTGGAGAATGATAATGATGGGCCATCTGTTTCAATATCTAACTGTTTCTCCCTTGCCGAGGGTGAGAACTCTATTGCCGATGTAGATTTAAAAGAATTGGAAGAGGTCAAAGCTACGACATTCAGTGACGGTATGAAGATGATCCTGATTCCTTCAGATCCAGCTGATGATGACAAATCCGAGGATTCTAATGAAGAAGCAGATGACGCTTCTGATAAAAAAGACGATGAAGAAGAAAAGAAGGATGATGATAATATTCTTGTAAGCAGCTCAGCAGATGTGTCATCGTCTAGTAACCACAGAAACCGAGCATCAGGTCATCTCATCTCCCTCCTTCCAAAACCACCACCAATCATAGCAGCTCCATCAGTGAGAAAAGAAACCCTGAGCAACCAATCAACATCATACACCAACATGCGAAGCCTTTTAACAGCAGCACCAACACAAAGCATTCGACCATCACGGCCCGAACCGCCTTTGCTCTGTATGGGAGTTCCAGGATTGTCAACAGCAACAGCAGGAGGCAAAAGTTCCGGGTTTCTGTTCGGGAAGAAGATGATCCGATGCGATCACTGTTGCATTTGGTTCGAGGATCACTCAATGAGCCTTCTTCACATGAGTCTCCATTCGGCCGACCCGTCTGATCCTTTCACGTGTCGCAAGTGTCTGAAACGTCTCGGTAATCGCCTGGAATTCATGGCTCACATTGTCTGGCATCTGGACCCCAGCATGGAAGAGAGACTTATGAAGAACAGTTAGTCACTAACAGTCCACTCAGATATCTGATCATACTATGTATTCCTAATCAGAATATATCAGAAGGAAAGGTGTATGGATATTTTCTATAACGACTATAACGATTAAAATAAGAGACTATCAACAAACATATTGAGATTGATACTTCAACCAGATGGCTTGGCCACCCTTTAACAGCTGTTTGTAAGAGCTGGTTGTGGTAGAGTCTGTACATTTCACATGCCGCTTTCCCACTTCCAAAAATTAAATTGACTTTAGTCACTGAAGGGTTCTGTAGGAAATAGTTTTGGTTAGCAATAATTCATAGACATATTTCAAGCATAACTTAGGATTGCTTTCATGTTTAGAATTTCTCATCGATATTTTTCAAAATCTATAAAATTACATTAGTAATTATTTTGTGTAGAGAACACAGGAAAATAATAAGTCTGAAATTCTTCTTTTAAATATGTAATTGTACAAAGAAATGTGCAATATGTTCCATAACCATGGAATGTCAGAATCATCGAATATTAGGTGAAGTGACTGCATCAAAATCAGAGGTTCTGAGGATCACAACATAAAAAATTAATGACAAATGTGTTATTGAATTGCAATTACATTGATCAGAAAGTAAGCACATTTGTACCTGCAATCACAGAATCTACTCTCATATACTTGATAGTATAGAGATCTAGCCTTGCAGAAACCTATTTCTTGGAGATAAAATAATTTGATATACAGGTGTACATTTCTGTAGAAAGCAATTACCAGTTGGAACAAAATGTACACAATAGTGGAATTGGAGACAAAAGACAAATACAATTCTCAACAAACAGCTGTAAAAGGATGCAGAAGTATCCTGTTGAATATACCATTTAAATTAGTAAAGGAAATAATTATTTCAAAAACTGATAATACTGTATCTGAAAATGTAGAACATAGTTTATTATATGAAGTGATAAATTCTTGTTATTTTACTGACTCTGTCACATGTACAGAAATGTACAGAAATGATGGGTGGCATAAATAAGTTAATTGGGCCTTGTTGATTAGAATGAAAGTCTCTTGTTGTTTCTGGTTTGTTTTGAAAATATTAACCAAGAAAGCACTGTATGATCAGATATATAGGTGCTTTGTGTTTAAACAACATGTAATTATGCACAAATTATCTTGCCCCGTATATTATAGATGCTGTTTGTCCATGACATACAGGTACTTCACTGGAATATTAATCAATGTTTCATGGTGTGATATATAATACATCTAAGCAATTTTAGCAGAGCAGAACCTATAATTATATCATAATATGTTTCTTGTTTGTGTATTGTTGACTTCTGAAATGTGCCTATACACTCTTTCTATTTTGTACCCTCAAGTACTTGTTGCAACAATTGTGATATGACTGTTATTGATTGTGGGTTCCTATTTCATCACTGACATTGAAGAGTTATCTCCCTTATATCAGTGATTTAAATCTCACTGGAGATATTTCCAGATTGGTGATCATCGTTTATATGTAGGAAATTATTCATGATATTGAGTTACCTTTTTTCATACACCTGTATTTTTGGAAATATTTTGAATGGGTGTTTTTAGTATGGTTTCTTTGGGAATATTTGTAAATTTGACAATCTTTTCATTCAACAAGCTTAGTTTTCATCATAATTACATTTGATTGGATGTATTTTTTAAATTTGATTTTTGTAAGAATTCGCATAATTATTGAGGATTACCTTCAATGATCTTATCATGCCTATTCTTAAAGAAACTTCCTATTTTATGTACAATGCACTGGGGCTGAAATGGTTGCCTGGTAGTTGTAGGTGATTATTCAAATACTATGGGAGTTCACCCCTTCTCAGTTTTTTTTAAATGAACACCATGACAAAGTTTGTTCCTTATGTTTATTTAATTGAATACCCTGGTCTTAGTTCTGCAATCAGATCTTAAAGACCAAGGATTTGATGCCTGGGAGAAGTGTGTGATTTTTGTTGGAGACGGAACATATTTTCAGACACTTAGACATTATGAGTTTCTCTTAAAAGAGGAGCCACACAATTGTATTTATTTGAACCATATTAAGACATGTCTTTTTGGGTGTAACATTTAGGGCTGGGATGGGTTACCCGAGTACTCATGTTGGGTAAATATTTAGCATTACCCGGGTCCTGACTAAGCTACACGGATCCATTTCATCACGACTGTCTTGTGTAACTCAGTCTTATATATTACGTAAATTCATTGAACCAAAATAATGAACCAATTTACTGTTTATGTTTCTTTTTATATCATAAATATAAGCATGACAAAATCACTCATTCAAAATAAGGCTTTGTGTTACATTGTCAGCAATTTGGACATTTAGACGTTGGTGTGTCTCTCAACCAGTGAAAGGCCATCATGGCCTTACTGACAATTACTAGGCAAAATATCATACTTCAAGTGAACATTATTTGATCACTGCAATAGCCAATTTAGTTTAATAATAAAATTTTTTGACATATTTAATCCTTGGAATTTCCAATTTATAAGGAAGCAAATGTATGACGCAGTGATGATGAAATGCAGTTATGATATGCTCACAGGAGAAATCTCCATTGTGTGTGATGTCAGTTTATCAAAATATGACCAAACTCTGATTAAAGCTGAAGTGGGTCTAACTTTTGTACTGGGTTCTTAAATTTCGACCCATCCCAACCCTAGTAACATCAGTCTTCTTCAGTTCACCAGATATCAATTAGTTTAGTAATTCAAGCTGAAGAATATGCAGCTTATTGCATTTGAATAAAGAATACTGGCACCTTGACTTCAAAGGTGAATATATGAATATTCAATGAGCTGTACAAGGCAAGTTCAGCCAATGTGTTCTTCATTGTGCCTCTAAACTTCACCCAATTCCTGCTAGTAAAGAAAATATCAATTCTCTGCGTATTCCATTGGAAAGTTGAAGTTTGTATTTATTTCTCATTAACATGCATTTGTAAAACACATTCTTTGTATTTTTTCTTGTTTTTGTACGCACCACTGCATTACAGTGTTATAAGTGTTTTATATATGTATTTTTTATACAAAATCAAAGGGTTTTTTTCCAAGTAGGAACCATCAGTTTGATATGTACCAGGGGTGTGGAAATACAAGGATAAGTTTATCAATCCTGAAAGAAATGATTGTTGGAAAAGTAGAAATTTACTATTTGTCATTCATGGAAAAATATAGTTGTTTTTTTTCTAAATAGTAACTAAAATCAAATTTCAGAACAGTTTGAAGGTTTTATTGACCAAGATGATTTTATAACAAAGGACAGATCTCTTATAGAAAAACTATTGCCAGAACATTCCTGGAATACAGAGTATAATCCACAGACTCTGGACATGTAGATTGGGCCTAAAGCTGGGTCTAGCCAAGTACTACCCAGGGAACCTAACAGCCTTTTACCCAACTCTACCCACTTACCAATAGCAGGTCTCTAGACATTGGTAGAAAATATCCAGTCGGGAATTGTTAGACTGAAGCCTTGAAAAACACTTAGATTCGGGTAAAATAATACCTGCACTTTTATGCTTAATGTAGCTGTATCTTTATTCAAACATATAGAAGTGAAGAGGAATGAAGGCATAGTAAGAATAAAATATGACTTTGGAATATAACCATGCAGTTTTAGTGAATTTGTGTCATGAAACAATATTGTGTGACCAACCAAGGGTCTGGTAGTTTGGGAGGGACTCTGGTCCTACTCAGTATCCACCCCCCTGAACACTTAACTTGTCCCTCCCAGCCCTATTTTGGACATTTTACTTGTCCAGGGTCTCGTTCCTCAAAGCGATCGTAGCGCTACGACTGTCGTAAGTCTATGTTAAAGTATGGGAGTTACGATCACCTTAGCGCTACGGTCGCTTTCAGGTACGGGGCCCAGAGACAAGTGATCATTGCTTACATTTCCACAGCCCTGGACAATACTACCATATTTAACCATGAATCACAAATGCACATTTAATTAGCATGTGCTAGTGTTTGCATCATTGTCATTGTTTTAGTTTGTTGCATGTTTTCTTGCATGACTGTAGAGAATATACAGTAGATCCTATTTATTGTATTTGTATGAGATTATTGTTAATTATTGATATTTTGTCTTATTTGAGTGTTTGTATTTAAGAGCACTGTTTTCACATTTTAAAAGAGGGTCAATTTAGATGCATGGTAGACGGAAAGTGAACACAAATAATAATGTTATCTTCTTTCTTTGTTTCTACTGGTTTCAATATGTTTTTGTTACAAATTATGAGACAGGGATAACGGGTAGCCAAGTGGTTCAAGTGTTTGCCCATAACATCAAATATCCAGGTTTAATTTTTCACAAGGTTAGAAAATTTTATGGCCGTTGTTGGCATTATCCCCTGTAATATGACTGAAATATTAGTAAAAGGTGTAATATTGTTCACTTTGAGAGGTTACATGCAAATAAAGAAGACATACTTGTGACCATGGTAACAGTCTGTTACCCACTGCTAATGTACAATTGCTGTGGGACCAAGCGTCAAATGATATCACAAAACTAATTCAATTATGTCAGTCATAAGCTATTTTCTTAAGGCAGGTCTCAAACAAAGGAGACTTTGTTTGTTTTCAGTGTTGTAAGAAATATTGTTTGCATAATAGTTTATGTAGATGAAGAATAGAGAGAAGGGACAATGAAATTGGTTTCCAATATAATGAAATTGAAAGATATTCTTTTTTTAACATGATGATCGGATGAAATTTATTCAGTGTTAATCAAAATGTCAAACTTTTGTCTTTGAAACCTAGTGCTCTAGAATGATTACCTGTATTTAAATGTGTATGTGTATACATGAAATTCAAGCATAGTACATTTTAAGGCGATGTGATATGAAAATATTTGATGCTATTGTATGGAAGCCTTCTTTTTATTTTATTTTATGTTGTTTATTTAATCTTATGTTTGTGTTTACTTTTACCTGTTAATTACTCTAAATAATTTAATCACCTTCTGTAATTTATCACGTGTCTTCTAGTCTTGTGGTAGCTTTTAGTTGATATTTATGAAGGTTTGTTAGTCTGTCAAGTCAAATATGGAACTTTGATAGTGAGGGCATGTACTGATTGAGAGTACACTGGGAAATTGTATGATTTGTACAATTGTTTGTTTTTAATCAAGGAAAAAGTATATATTGGTTATTTAAGACATTATAAACAAGAATTATTGTGACAGTCACAAAATATTTTTATCGCCCAGGACATTGTTTATTTGCCAGACAGCAGAATGGTAGTATAGTGTGTGCTGGAGATAGATGTTATAGCTTGGATATTAGCCTGATATCTGAATTGAACAGATGTTTTGGCTTTGCAGTTCTTGATTAGTGGTTGGAAAAACACCACTTACTAACAGGACCAAAATTATATTCCAGTTTAGTCCTTGGTTTTTGTTCAACTTATTACATATAGGGTTATGGCTATTATGAATGCCTCCTCGAATATATCGGTCTCAAGTTGTTGACTTGTAATTTGCAGTAATTTGCTGTGTGGAGTTGTGTCTCTTTGGTCATGACAGGATCCGCTGGTCTTGAGTCCTGGCTCTGCACCAATTATGACCTTAGTGTGCCTACACCATTCCTATGCTTGAGGGTTTCAGCAAGGTGTTGGCTTGCTCCAGTCCACACATTATATGAACATGAACTGTTATAACTTAAATTCTTCTTGACTGAGCTGGCACTCACTCATTCACTCTAATTGAAGTAATTGAAGATGACATTATATTGGTCAACATCGCAGTCTCTGTACACACGGTTGTATATCCAGCAGCATCGGATGGTTAGCATTTGTCAAGATGTGGTGTAAGGGAAGTAACTCTTAAAACATATTGTAATGCAAATTTATTGAGAACCTCAAATTACCTGCATGTACCTGTGTTCAAGTCTGTCTCATAAATATTTTGTGTGAAAGTATAGGAACATTCTGACTGAGACTAAGTAATAATGGTTGCCTGAAACAGGTACATTAACTGTTTTTGTCCCTGGAGAAGAAAGTCCAATTGAGGTGTTGGTCATACTTTCGGCAATTGATATAGAATTAACATTGTATTCTGATGGTGTTACTATAATTGAAAATATCTAATACACAACTGCCTTGAGTAACCTGCATCTGTTAGGGGGCTGGTTCGTAAGTTACAGCATAATGTAATTCTGCAGATAGGAACCGAATTCATATGAGACATCATTGTATTTGATCATGTCTGTGACTTCGGTCAGGTTGGGCCATTGGAGACAATATCATTTTGCCTTAATGATATATCCGAGATATATTTGTGTAAATGAGCTTTGTGTGTAAATTCAGTTTGGTAAAGTGTGCTGTTTGGAATGAGACATTGTAAAAATCATTGTTTTGCTGATCAGGCCTCGATTTCTCGAAACAAACTTAAGTCTGTTTCGAGAAATCGGGGCCAGGTCATCTACAGGAAGACTTAACAGTGCCAATTTGTGATGTTGGACTACTCGTTTTGAGTTCAGTATAGCCAAGAAACTTGCATGCATCTTTGTCAGTAGTGACCCCTATTGTACTGTGTCTGTAAATGTCAATATACGTGTTTGCTTTGGCATCTTTAGATGTCATCTTTGGGAAGAGTTGAAATTCTGTACTGAAACCTATTAACTGATACAGCAAATGAACCTATCAGGATCAATATTCATCCTCAAAGTTACATTGCATTTCACAAGTAATAAACCTTTATCTGGATATGGAAATATTGCTAAGACCACTATAATTTAAATATCTTTTGATGGAATAATAAGCGTATGTAAGGTATTAACCAACAGTGCTGTCTGAAAACAGAGGCGTACTTCATCAGAAACTGTTTGTCGTGTTGATTACCTCGCAGTTAACTGAAGCCCTATAAACAGTAGGGTTACAGGTGCGAGTTAAAAAGCCAAATGTCCAAATCTCTGTGCATGGATTCTGTGCATGGATCCTCCCTACTCCAGAATCATCACCCATACCCGATAACCTATCCCTCCCTACACCCAACCTTCCAGAATCATCACTCCCTACCCCACACTAACCTGTACATACCCCCACACAGAACCCTGCTTACCCCTACACCCAACCTACCTTCCCCAGAACCATCACTCCTCACCCACACCATCTTTCCCTTCCGTGACCCGATTCATTCCACCCGACACTTGTTTTTCCTTACCCCACACCATCTCTTCCTCCTCCAGGACCATCAGTCTCTACCCTTTACCCCCATCAATAAAATACCTCCCCAGCCCACCTTCCATGTAGACAGCTTCTCAACCAACCCATTATAATACCACTCCAGCCCTTCCTATCTTTCTAATATAGTGGTCTTTACCATTTCTGACTGTACCTTGTGAGTGCCTATCAGCTGTTCATGTGATGTTTGCTAGAGATTCACCAGTTGCTTATTATATGTTAAAAATGTAAAGCTGGGTGAAATCAGTAGATATATTCCTGAAATCACATTTTGCACATTTGTAACCCAGATATTTTCAATCATTGTTATTGTAGATCCTTCAGTGGTATAATGTTCATTTTGCAACCTGTTTCTTTTTGTTGCTTCAGTATCCACCTGCATTTACACCCTTGATTGCCAAGCCAGCTCCTCCTTGGTCAGTGGTAGCTCACCCATGATCATAGTGGTAGCTCACCCATGTTCATAGTGGTAGCTCACCCATGATCATAGTGGTAGCTTGTAGCTCACCCATGACCATAGTGGTAGCTCACCCATGATCATAGTTGCAGGTCACCCTTGATCAGTGTTAGCAGACCCTTGATTATAGTGCCAGTTCACCCTTGATCAGTGTTAGCAGACCCTTGATCATAGTGCCAGCATACCCTTGATCATAGTGCTAGCACACCCTTGATCATAGTGCCAGCTCCTCCTTCTTCAGTGTTAGCACACCCTTGATCATAGCAGCAGCTCCTCCTTGATCAGTGTTAGCACACCCATGATCGTAGTGACAGCACACCTTGATCATAGTTCCAGCACACCCTTGATCATAGTTAGCACACCTTTGATTGTGTTAGCACACCCATGATCATAGTGCAAGCTCACCCTTGATCATAGTGGCAGCTCACGCTTGATCAATGTTAGCTCAGCCATGATCACAGTGACAGCTCAGCCATGATCATAGTGACAGCTCACCCATGATCATAGTGACAGCTCATCCATGATCATAGTGACAGCTCACCCATGCTCGTAGTGCTAGCACACCCTTGATCATAGCAGCAGCTGACCCTTGAACATAGAGGCACACCTTTGATATTAGTGATAGTGCACCCTTGATTATTGTGCCAGCTCACCCTTGATTCTAGTTTCAGCTGAACTTAAATCACAGTGCCAGCTCACTTTTGATTGCAGAGCTTGCATCATATTTATTGGTAAATTAATTTTGTTTAAAGCCGTAGGCCTAAATTAACCTATTCCTGTGTCAGGAAATGGTTTGTTTGGAAACTTCCAACAATACCAGAATAATGAGAGAAGGATTTTGTTTTGGTGTGTTTAATTTGTGTGAATAAAAATTAACAATTTGGTGAATCTGTCATCGAGAAGTTTTCTTTGCACAAATCAAGACACATTTTATGTGGGTGTTACCACTGAAATGTGTGAATTTAGTCTGTTGAGTAGTTTATGAATCTGTTTTGAAAGCCTTTTAAACACTTTCACTTGTTTGAGTCAGTTCTGTGCTTGAGTCTGTTTTATTTTATTATTCGTTCACAAATTACCCTTGAATATATCTCATCACCTCCACCGTGTCAACTTCATTGTTTATTTATGGTAAATAAACACTGTTGAATTATTTTGGTGTTCTTTTCAATAATCCATCTGTCACGAGACGAGGGCAAGGTAAGTGTACAAATATAGCCAGGAATTATATCCTTTGTATTGATTCTATTAAACAGCAAAGACACCGGGGAGACAACTAAACTATCCTCACTGTCCAGTTTAGCCCAGTGGTCAAAGCGCTTGTGACATTGAAAAGCCCAGGCATCTAATATGAGGCTTTGTGTTCCCAGATGCAAATGGAAACTTCGGCAAAACAGACGTGTGTGCAAATGTCAGGGATGGCAACAGGAAAATCTATTTTCAGCTGAAAACTTAATATTGTGTCATCGAAAGGGGGGTTGAGGGTTTCTCAAAGGATTTAGACGATTCACTGAATTGATCAATTTGAAAATTGCCATCCCTGAAATATAGGTATATCATCTAGTCTCCCTTTCTCTCCCTCATATAGACAACAGTAGTTTCTTGACAGGCATGTTGTCTGGGGCTGTATCGATGCATTGCAATTGTTGAGTCTCCAATAGCAATTAATCGATGGTAGAAACAAAAAACTATTGATGCATCGATACTATGTGTGACTATCCATAGTTTAGATGTTTGGGTGCAGACTTACAGCTTCACTGAGTTTATGCTTTAACTGTTTACTTGATTTGGGTTTGAAGTTTCTTGTCACCCATTAAAAGAGACTGAACTTACTTCAACTTGTTTTTATGTCATATAAACTATACATTCATTTGGGAAATGACTTCAAATGAGACAATTCAAGGAGAAAAAAACTATTATAAGTGGGTCGCAATAGCATGTTGCAATAGACGATCGCTATCGCAATGGTTGTTTCCCCCTCACCCCTAATGCTGTCACTGCAGTGTTCCAAGATGACACATGAATTGCTCTAAAAACATTAATGTTCATGATGTAACATGGGATAGTTCGTACCCCCAGAGAATCATACCAAAACCTTCTTTGCAGACTTGTGATCAACTGGATGACCAATACCCAGAAAACAGAATCCGTACCCAATGAAAAAATATGATTTGAAGTGATTGTTTGTATTCTAAATGGGGTGGTTGGGTAGCCTGGTGGTTAAAGCGTTCACTCGTCACACCGACGACCCGGGTTCGATTTCCCACATGGGTACAATATGTGAAGCCCATTTCTGGTGTCCCCCACCGTGATATTGCTGAAAGCGGCGTACGACTGAACTCTCTGACTTGTATTCTAAACTGTATCTGTCCACTGCAGCATGTTGAATTGAAAACAGATTTAACATGTTAAACGGATACATGGGCGGATCCAGGAATTTTGAAAGAAGGGGGTTCAGTGGGTTGGAACCCCCTGAAACACACCCCCACACCCCCCCTATTGACTCCGCCAACGCAAAAAAAACAACTTCAATGTGATCTTAAGTCATTTTCAAAAGGGGGGTGAGTTTAGTTTTACGCCGCACTTAACAATATTCCAGCTATGTGGCGGCGGTCTGTAAATAGTCGAGTTTGGACCAGACAATCCAGTGATCAACAGCATGAGCATCGATGTGCGCAATTGGGAACTGATGACATGTGTCAACCAAGTCAAGAGAGCCTGACCACCCGATCCCGTTAGTCGCCTCAAGTACGACAAGCATGGGATACTGAAGATCAATATTCTAACCCGGACCTTCACGGGTAAGCATTGAATGTAAGAATGCAAAATGAATAAATCTTTGAAAAATAACATGAATAAATGTTTGGAACACAAAACTGAAAAAATGTTTGAAATCTAAAAGGAATAATTGTCGGAAATGTATAATGAATGTATGTTGAGAAATATAACAGTGCTAAGGATAAGCTATCAAAGTTCAAGGATCCATACGTGATAAATCAAATATAAGAAAATAAATATATCTTTTGTAAATGAAGTAAATGGGTACGTGTCATCCACATTTGGCAACGAATGATCCATATTTGGGTACGTGACGATGACCTTCGCGAGATTTGCGATGGGGTCTTATGTACAGTCAAGACAAGATCCTGCATTGCATAGATCTACCTCGCAGCAGACAGTTGCTGGCGACAGCACACCATGACTAAATTTGTCCAGGCCAAGGCCACTTGCTTCCCGAACATCACACAATATTTAAAGTTGTTTAACAACCTTTCAGTTCCCGATATATACAAGTTATGTTCCCGTACTATTTTTAAACTGGTAGATATACATATGATCGTTGAGGCGAGGCTCGTCAACTTTCAGGATGTTTGAACTCGGTTATAGCATGAGCACGTGACAGTCACGTGGTTACTGCTGTGTAATGTAACGCGACAAATACGTCGACTTATTTTCCTTAGATTTGTAATATTCACAGGATGGTAGCTGAAGTCCTATTCCAACCATAATCTTATATTCACATCTACAGTAGAATATAACATTATGCAAAAATTTTGTACCACTTATTTTCTTCAGCGTTACATGGAGGTTCTATGGTGTAATGGTTAGCACTCTGGACTCTGAATCCAGCGATCCGAGTTCAAATCTCGGTAGAACCTGAAATTTTTTTCTTCGTGTCTTATTTTACTTTTTATCAAGACTTCAAGTCCGAGTGCTTTTCGTAATAAAGACGTTTTGATTATCTTGGTTTCGTTTAACTTATTAAATAATTGTTTTTAATCAAGATGTATTGATTCATAACCATATTGAGGGCAGATTGGAAGTGAACTGGTTTCCAACTAATACTACATTATAGCCTATAGTTTGTTTTGTTTGTTCTTTCAAGACTGCACTCAGAAATATTCTAGCTATATGACTGCAATAAGTAAATAGTCCGACCAAGCAATCCAGTGATTGACATCCAACAGAACATGGTAAATAACAGACTATCATGAGAATATTTACCACAGGATAACACACCCTTCCAGGCTTCAAATCCTGCTCCAAGCGCACAAAGAATACTCAAATCGCTAGAAAGATAATAGTCATATGACTTATCCCATCAGGTACCCATCCTCTGATGAATGAACAGAGGCAGTTTTGAACAAACTCACTCTGCAGTCTAAGTAAACTTAGGCTCAGTATTATTCGTTACACTGCTATACTGAGTCTAACAAAAGCTTGTAGAAGGTCGCGTCAGCTAACCTTTGAGCGACCTATGACTGTCCAATCAAATGCAAGACGGACGAACGGATTTAAACAATCAGACAACGACTACTTGTTAGGGTTCGGCGGGACTTGCGAAACAGTTTTTGAATTTTCTCTTCCCTGGTCGCCGACACTGATCTATCAACAAACGAAAATCCGCATGAAACACATATATTTGACCTGCAGTATATACGCTTATGGGTTTCTAATGACATGGTTACTATTTGCTTATCTATTCGATTTGTTTAGGTCAAGGTTCCAACAGTATGTGCGAATGTTAACTTTCGCAATTTGGTAAGCTGTGTTCTGATTGGTCAGTCGAAAAGGTTAGCTGTGTAACGAATAATACTGAGCCTAAGTTTACTTAGACTGACTCACTCTGCTAAATGAACAGAGGCAGTTTTGAACAAACTCACTTGCCCAAGGTGGAAACACATGTATCACATGTGCTTCGTTGTGGGGCAGGACTGAAGTCCCAGCAAGTCTCTGGAGTCAAGATGTCAGGTCACCCATCCAAGGACTCTCCGTGCCCAAGGTTGCCTAACTTAAACTTATTTGTGACCTGAACTCTATGCACAGGACCACACACCACCTCATTGGCACCCATCCTGACCAGATGGCTTTATCTTCCTTTTCATTGGAAAGCAAATCTTTCTATTAAGAATCATTTTCTTTACAATTAATGAAAAAAATATTAGATCAGATGATAATTAAATTTGTTTCTGAAGTGTTTGTCTTGAAATATAGATACACTTTTAAAAATTGCAGCTATTATTAAACGTTTGAAAATGAAATGAAGTGAGGCCTTTCGAACCCTTATTCAAATATTAAGTGAACACACTGCAACATAGTTTGTATTTAGTAAGCAACAGAAATTCTGTTGGACTAAATATACCAAATACATTATCTGACGAAATGCATACCGTCCTCTAGAATAACAAGCTAACATAACTGATGTCGTTGCAGCTTTTGTGCCTGGAACATCAGATAATGTAAACAATAAAACCAATCCATTGTTTGTGTGTAAACAATTGAAATTCTTTTGTTTATTACAACTCTGTCGTTGATTTTTCTATTTTCTGACGTTGATTTTTCTGTTATTTTTAAAGAAAATAAAAATAAGATGATAAAAACTATATATTTATTTCAACAATTCAATATGTCAAAACATTCATAAAAATTACAAACTGTACAACTACATGAATTTGCAGTAATGCATAGCTACAGCTTTATCTAACATGCACATCAAGACCTAAGAAAGAGCCATTGTAAAACTATAGCAAAATACATGCCAAATATCAACAATTTCATGGTAAAAACACGGTGGATTTCAGTAAATGATTAGACAATATCCTTATATTTAATTCATCTCTAATGAAAAACTATCTTAACTCTTTCTCATTTCAAGTAAAAATGTAACACCAAATAGCACTGTGAGTATTTGCAAACAGTTGATTCATGTTACATCTATTTTCCGAAGACACTGACAACTAAATTAAATAGATACTAATTTTTTAATTCAATTTTATCGACCAAAAGATTTGATTAACATTTGATTAACAATTTATATTCAGAGACATTCTGTATCTTACATCTGTTGTTTAACCACTTTAAATACACCTTCTCTCCAGTAACGACACAACTTTCATCACAGGAATATTCTGTTATGCACTGTGTATATATATTGATGTTCTTCATTCAGTACTTACACTACTGTCCACTGTTGATGGAAATGGAATCATAAGTTGGACAGTTCATTTGACCCATTAATGTCGATACAATATGTTTAAAACTAAAAACTAAATTCTGAAAACTAGAGTTGTCTAAGTAGATAGTCATTGTTAATAGGTATTCACAAAATATGATATCTATTCATCAATAGAAACATTTTTTATTACATATTTG